AACCACTTTACCTAGTTGATAGGTAATTGGTGGTCGATGATACCATAAACCAGAGGGGTATATCAGCTAGTGTTCTTGTGCCTGTATAATAAAATATAGGGTACATAATGGACATCCAAAGGCAATCTCGGGGTTTGTAGCGATCGGCACTGTGCATTTGGGTATCGTTGTCCGGAAGTGTATGGAGAAATACCGCCCGAGTCATTGTACATGTAAAAAAAAAAAGAGACAAAACACAAATGAAAAAAAAATGATTCTATACATCAGGGAAAATGTAAAGCGAAAGATAGCGCATATACGGAAGCAAAAAGCAAAAGAATGTATAGGCACATGCAAGTGTCCAAATCGCAAACCCCTCTAGATTGAATGACTATCAAGGAAGGAATCTAGACTGGCTAATAGAACAAGACAAATAAGGCATTCATCATCAATCTCTCATCATGGTCATGAAGACGGTGTGGAGGTGGTGGTAGATTGCCGCAAGAGAGCAAGCCTCAGGACAAAAAGAAGTATAGGGAGGAAGAGAATATAAGCAAGGATAAATAACGAGCAGCACTATTTCTTACTGGCCCCAGGATTGTTGGAAGAAGTTGTCATCCATGGGCGGGGTGGAATCAGCATCGAAGAGACCGCTAGCCCAGATAGGAACGGGGTCCGGGGGCGGCGAGGGAGCGCTGGGAATTGGGGCCGACGTCATGGGTTTGTACACTGGTATCTGCGACATAGTGTAGATATCCTGAGTAGGGACCGGCTTCGCCTCTATGCTGATGTTCGCTTGCAGCTGGTGCTCGAGCGCAGCGGTGGACTCATTGGTTGATTTGAGGAAATCGTCGATGTTGATCGAGTCCAGGTCATTGGATGACAGGAGACGCGTCTGAGGTAGACCGGCCAATGAGGAAGCAGAGCTGACGCGGAGATGGTCCATGTCAGACGTTTCGCTCACGCTGTGCAGATCGTGCATGTCATTGCTAGCATGACCCAAACCGGGAAGAGGTCCAAACTCGTCAGCCTCGGAGATGTCTCCGGATGATGAAGGCGCTGGAAGACCCGAGGGATATCCGGTGTAATCAAAGCTAGCATATGAAGGAGCTTGCGTGCTGGTTGCGGTGGGCACGTCGGAGTATAGAGGGAAACTTGACCAGTCGACCGAGGGAGCACCGATGCCAGCAGACCCCAGGGGCATATCGGAGTCTGGAGAGGTAAAATAACATTCTTGGTAAGGTTCCTGGAATGCCATGCAGGCTATCGGAGAGTTGGAGCTTGTGGTCGGGAAGGAGGAGAAAGAGGAGACGTCAAGTGGAGGGACACTGGTGACAATATGTTCCAGGGGGAATTTGTCCATGGTTGCAGGGGCAGAGATCGGGTTTGACAGCGCATCATGGGATCGGTCTAATGATGGAGCGGGAGGTGCTGGCGTAACGAAATTGTCAAGGTACGAGTGATCGAGAGGAGCAGGTTTTGGATCGTCTTCGGCACCCGAAACATGCGCGCTGTTGGGAGAACCATTTTGCGACGTTTGTTGTGATGTGGGAAATTCGGACAGGGGAAGAGGTTCCTTGATAAAGGTCGACTGGCCTAGCGGCAAATGATCCACCGACCGACGGGGTAAGTCGGTTGGGTGGTGGATGGTATGCGATCGCGGGATCGTATAAGGCAATCCACATTTGTGGGCCATGTCATTATGCTTGTGGGTGGGTTTATGATGACCGTCGCGGAAAATCGTGAGCGTCGATTCAGATTTGGTAGACGTAAGAGGGGGTTTCCGTGGAGTCTCAATCGTAAGCGGGGGCGGAGAGAAGGGAAGACCGGTTTCAGGCACAGTATCTAGATGTTCCTTTTTGAGTGCGCAAATGCAGCGCTGGCCATGACAGCAACCACAGCGACCATGGGAAATGCCAGAATGGCAATCTTCCTTCTTCTTCTTTTCGCCGCAATCACACTGGGTGTGGGTTGTCCGAGACTTGCGTAGGCCGCGGCAGTGAGTACATTGCGAGACTGGGCGGCCTTTTTTGTTGATGTGGGTCAATTGGCGGTCTAAGGGGAATTAGCATAAGATATTCATTATTGTGAGAGTGTAAGATTGGCGTACCACTATGATGACAGCTGCTGACTCGGTGACCCCGGACGCAAGCCTCACAAGCATACTTTTCACCATCGATGAGCATCGCTGCGGTGTTACTGGGAGGTACACATGCGATGATTCGCGAGGGATATCGGGAAAAATTGAAGTATTGAAATAAAAGAGATCCGTTGAAGAGACCGAGATATCAAGCCGTCAAGGCGATTGGCAGGGGCTCCTTTAAAGAGTTCGGGCCGAGTAGAACAAAATGAACAAAAGGGTATAATCGTATAGTCGAAGGTCCCAATGCGCGGAGGAGTTCACAGAACGCCGGACTAGCAGTGTAGAATTGCCGTTGAGAGCCACTGCACTGTCTTCGATTGGAACAGAAAGCAGAAAGAAATTGAAAATCCAAAGGGTATCTCAGGCGCGAGGTAGAGGGGGATGTGTGGTCAGGGATCGGAGAGTAAGAGAGTAGAGAGATAGAGAGAGGGGAGAGGGGGACCAAGCCTACGCACCGTTTGGCGCCGGCCGTTAGACAGGACACCAAGTACCGGTAGTGGCGGCCAAGATAAAAAGCGTTCGATTAAAGAGGACGTTGGACGCAATGAATAAAAGAAAAAGAAGGAGAGGGAGGAGGGCGGGCAGGAGCCGTTAATAATGGGGTATGGGACGAGGATTTTCGTTGCACCACTGGTCTTTGTAGGTGGCCGTACTGACTTGGAATAAGGACAGGTTGTATCGTTATGTACTTTTACTACTCTTTTACGCTCTTTTACACTCTTTTACGCTCCTTTTATTGACTGGATTTGGGTGTAATGATTTTACAAATGTACATGTTAACCGTAGTAAATAATGTAAATCAAGGAAATCAAGTAAATAACTGTACTATTACTAAAATATTGTATGTTTCCAAGACTTTCCCAGGGTTCTTTGACTAACAACAACCTTGGAAGTCCTGGAGTCCCTAGAATTCTTCCTTTTTTTTGGACTCCACTCGCAGGAACCATTTGTTGCTTAGGGTTTTTCCCAACGCACATCGTGAGAATTTGATTTGGTTTTGCTTCTTTTTTTATCGGATGGTTTTTCTTTTCTTTCTTTTTCCCCCTTTTCTCCTTTTTTAGACTTTGACTTTTCTTTTCTTTTTTTATAAAAAAAAGCCCAAACTGGCAGCCCCAACCGTATGTTGTATGTTTACTACAATATACGTGGAACATCATCTGGTGGCAACCGAACTCATGGCCACTGCATAAAAAATCCCCCATTATTATTTTTTATTATATAAAAAAAGATTGGCAAAGGCTAGCCATAACAAACTCACCCCACTAAAAATCTGGGGCCGCACATCCCGACCTTGACACTCATACTACAACATACACTCTGTATATATACCTATGTTGTATGTGTATTTAGGAATATTGTGTTTCTCTGTGCTACAGCACCCTGGTTGCTGGGGCTGAATCTATTATGAGAATGTTTCAGGGGTGCTAGCGCTTGATCTACGTACATTGGCAAAAAAAGAACATTCCATAATCCCTGCAAAGGCTTTCCAAATGGCCCATAGGTTAGTATTACATGAGAAAGCAACTTCCAAGGTTATGACAGGTCCTTGGCACAGATATCAACTGGGAAAGGAAAATGAGAGAAAGAGTTAAACAAAAGCATCCAGTGGAAGGAGTCCACGTAGCCCAGGTGCATTCAAAGTTACAAGTTATTAATACCATTATTTACCAATACATACAAATACAATACCAAATGCATGCCATAGAAAGTGGGCCGATGGCGTCAGTGTGCCTGCTTCGGGCGGCCTGCAGAGAGAGTTTGGGGCCCTGATCTGCACCTGTGCTTTGCCAATCGTCTGGATTCGGGAAGGATTGGGATTCTTTACGTACAATCTTATTATCAACTCGATTATCGTAGGTATGGAGTAGTTATATAAAGTGTATGCTATCCATTCTATCATTTTTATATCCTTTGTACAAAATAGTATTGAGGATGCCTTGAAGTGCTTGCTTGTAAGTACCTAAGTATATATGAGGTAACTGGAAGCCATATCGTCATGAACATTAGACACTGGGGTTCGAGTTATAATATATTGTATGCTGATTAAACGGTCTCAAGTATAAAAAGCGGTAACTAGATAACTATAACAACACGTAACTAACTAGTTAGATCAAGGACTATGACTAACTAGTTAGGGTTCTATGGTTCTATGGGAGAGACATCACTCTAGGTCAGGTGATCCCCGGAAGGGTAAAAACCAGATCAACATGCCTAGGTATATATAAAGCCTTTACTGAATATCCCATGTCATTGGTCATTTGCCAGCTTGAAAGTATTCATGAGTGATACTCACTGGAGTAGTGGCAAGAACATTGAATAGTTACATATGTAGTTATTGAGCGCCGGTACAAATACAGGCACATGTCTATATATCCTTACATTGATGGTGTACGTGGATAATCGCTGTTGAGAATTGACACAGGACCAGTGGCATCAGTCTAAATTGAACCAACATGCTTAAAGATGGCACGAGCAACAAGTATATCAAGGTATCCTAACTTCAATGTTGAAAGTGCAAGTGCAAGTGTTCCTTGGTCGTAGTTCATCCGAAGCCGAAGGGGAAATAGTATTAATCCGTTCGACACGCAGAAACGAAAGGCCGTCCTCCGTGCGATCATCCAAAAAAGACTCGGGGAAGTAAACAACTGTATATAGCTTCAAAATAATATCTAATTCATATGAATCCTCTGTACAAATGTTGTTGCTTAATGCGGCGCTCTCGGCGCTAGCCCGCTTGAAAATTCTCCCCCGCGAAATTTTAGTCGAAACTTCACCTCTGGCACTTTCGCGTCCTACACCATCTTCCCTCCATCCCCCGGAGGCCCGCTTTGCCCACAACCCATCATTTGACTTGTAGTTTTCAATTTTATATCGCGCAATGAACTCTCGCGAGCAGTCTGACATGCCTCCGGCACCCTCTTACCCGTCCCCTAACGGTGCGCAGATGGCCCAGGGCGTGCCCTCGTATTATGGCAACCGCCAAATGACCACCGACGAACTGCTGTCCGCGGAACTTTCCCGCGATGCCTCTGGTCCAGGCCTTGGCGAAACAAACAACGGGGTTCATCATGGCCAGTCTATGGTGTTGGGTTCCTCCAATGCTGCTGACATGGGTCGAACCTCTTCGGAGGATCAACACCAGCACCAACACATGCTACAGTTCCCTCCAAGTCAACAGGTTGGTGTCGACCCGAACCACGACCTGAGCTATGGCGAACAAAGTGCGCGCAAACGATCAAAGATCTCAAGGGCTTGCGACGAGTGCCGGCGAAAGAAAGTACGATAACAACTCCCCTTGAATGCGATTGTGAATACCCAAACTAAGACGCGTTTTCTTCTACAGGTTCGATGCGATGCGAGCTCGGAGACCGGCCTTGAAACATGCTCCAACTGTAGACGCCTCGGCGTTGTGTGCCAGTTCAGTCGCGTCCCGATGAAACGCGGCCCCAGTAAAGGGTAGGAAAACAAACAAGTGCACCACTACAAGAATCGCCGTCGCTGACAGAGACCCATAGTTACATAAAAGAGCTCGCCGAGCGACTCCATACTCTCGAGAACCAGATGCAACCAGGGATCGTTCAGCCTGACGTGCCATACCAATCCATGAACGAGGTGTCGCTACCGAGAGGGTACCAGGATTTCGCATCGCCGGTGGAATCGACCTCGGGCAATCGCAAGAGGACTTACTCGGTTTTCGAAGGCCTCCCCAGTTCCTCGTTTGCACAACCTTCTTTCAACGCCCGTGTATCGCAGAATGCCTTTGACGCCTCCGAGACAGCGGCAGACCCGTATAACCCAGCCGTTGCCAACGGTAGCGCACCGAAACCTGGCAATCTGTTCTGGAACCCGACGGGCCATGAGAATGATCTCCCAAGCGGCCTTGAGATGCCGGATTTGCCCAAGCATGAAGGTGATGACGACATGACACCAGTGACTCTGGATGAAGGAGCTCTTGATGCGTACGTGCAATATGTAACCCTCGTAATTGAATGAGCTGACATCGGATTGTAGTTATTATCAGAAGATCCACACCCTTCTGCCGATTCTTCCCCACACCAAGGAACGAACATTGGAGCTTTTGCACCAATGCAATCGCGAGGCACAAGAAATTTTCTGCCATGCGTTGTACAGCGTTACACGAACTGACATCTCTCGCGTGGCGGGCAATTTCGAAAAAAATCAATGGCTTTGATAATGCTCAGGATCTCCTCATGTTCCACACCCGCCAGCCATTGATTGTCCACTCGGCCCCTGTCAACCTTATCTGGCTCCAGTCTCTTTTGATGATGATTATCGACTGTGACACTCGTGGACCAGATAATTTCGTTCTGAAAGACGGTGTCCCCAAGGGCAGCCTGGTCCAAGCGGCCAACAAGCTCGGATATGACTTGGCCAAGAGCCAAGGCCAACTAAAGAACAAGCGACCTGTGGATCCTGATGTCGACTCGGATGCCAATCTCACCCGGCGCAACTGGGTGTCTTTGGTCATCTTGGCTCGGTGGTACGCTATTAGTGTGGCAGATGCCACCGTTCTAGGCGGCCATGAGATTGGCGGCCGTGAAGATGAAAGGGTTGTTGGTCAAATCACGACCGGAATTGCCTGTATGTTCATCTTCCTTGTTTTATAATTGCGCCGTTTCACTGACTCTTTTCGCGCTAGCTTACTCGACATTCCTCTCGGAGATGGTCACTCTGGCTAATGTCGACCACAATGTCTGCCAGACTAACTCCGGCCTGGGTCGTATCATCGGCGCGAACCTAGTCTCGTCCCTAGAGCGTCTCGCGGAGATGGAGGACATATTCCAGATTCACGAGCTACCGGAGAACTCTACTACTCGCCCACTTTACGAAAGCCTCCAAGCACAACTCTACTGGACCGTTCGTTTGCTTATAAAGCGCCATGTCTTCGTGTATAGCCCGTACGAGATCATTTTCTGCGCGCAGGAGGTAATCAACGAGATGCACAAGTCAACCATGCAATCCCGCCTCCCATCACCCTTCGATCTACACAGTCTAGCCCTCGCCTCAATGACTCTTCTTGAGGCGACCGTTCTCCCAGAACACGCAAATGAATGCTGGACCACCCTCGAAAAAGTCGAAGAGATCCTCGACCGCCGCTACAAGCGCGCAGCAGAGGGTTCCGAGTTCGACAATATCTTCGGCACCCCGGAATGGGACGCCAAGATCCGCATCTTCCTTGAGTGGCGCCGTATCAAGTCTCAGGAGAGCCAGCTACAGGAAGCTGAGATTGGCAGTCTCGCCAAGTCCCAGCAGCCTATGATGGGTCCCAACGAGCAGCGTTCTCTCCAGCATCTTGCTGATCTTGCTGTTGGAGCTGAGGGCTCTGTTGGTCAGAATGCGCCGTCTACATCCCCGCCCGGTCTTTCTAATGATCAGGGTGAAAACGATCAGAATCTTGCTCCTCAGTTGACCCAGTCGAACGGCGGGTCGGGTCGGGTTGTTGTTGACTTCACTATGCTCACTAAGGAGGGCTATCTGAACGTCTTCTCTGGGTTGATCTACCGTCGCACACGTTGAGTTTAATTCGCGATTATGTCCTTTCTTCTCCGCTTAATCTTCCCCTTCTCTGCTTTTTGTCTGAACAAAATGGCCCCATAAGAAATTGTTTTTCATTTTGTATTATTTGCGTTGGCTGGGCTTCTCCGTGGCTCAGGTTTGTCTCTAATATCTTGTGCTGTAGTTGTGTCTTGATTAGGGAGAGGGGGTTTAGCCCTCAAATGGAACATATTTTATGTATGACATCTACATCGAATTTCAGGCCGCGTGAGATGGCGTTCCATTTTCCAATGTAGACCCTAAGGTGTGGGACTTTTAGCATAACGCCTCCCATTCCCCCGTCAATTCCCAATCCTGTCATCGACACGAGAAATCCCATTTCCGCTGACGGAGTCGATCTCTACCACCCCGATAAATGGTTCTCCTTGTATCCCATCAACGACGACAGTCTCTGGACAGGCGATGCTGGAAAATTCGGAAGCAAGCTATATTTCGGTGGCAACTCGTACAGTGATGGCATGTGCTTTCAGCTTTCCAAACTTGATCGGAAGACACAGATCCGCTCCTTGACGGTAAATATCTGGTCGTCATGATCGAACCTGACGTTGCTGCGTACCTTGAAGAAGGCTGTAGGCAACATACTAGGTTCGACCGATGTTCCCGTTGAATGCTCCATTATACCATACCATTGGATATAGTTCCGAGCCGCATGAGGGTTTTGTTTTGGTCCCGAAGGGTTTGCCCAGCATGTTTGCCTTTGAGTGACGGCATTTCCTACTATAGAGTTAATGCTCTTAAAGGCAGTTATGCAGAGGTAGAGCGTCTTGAAGACATCGACGATGCCTCACCTTTCCAGTTTGTCGCTTGATCTTCCCATGTGTTGGGTACTTCGGCGCAGCTTTCCTGTGCCCGCGCTTGCCACCATGCTGTAGTAGGGCATTGTTTTACCATCGATACCACATGTTTCACCTAATCAGCTTGAAGAATTGATACCACGAAAGCCTCGTCTATAGTCCTCAGGGGCTTCTTTTCCGGTACAAGTGCAATTTTGATGCTCGCGTTGAAGCTGCCCACCGGCTGGATTCTATATATTGAGTGATTCATTTATTGAGCTCTATGCTCCACAATCTAACTAGCCAGCAACAAAGGGCATGTTAGACGCTACGTGCCAAGCGTTAGTTTCCCCTGGTGTCCATAACTTCAGCCAGCAGAGCATATTTGCGGCCCTTTGACACCAGCAATGAGCACATAGTCGAATGCTTCCACAGGTGGAGACAGCTAACGGAGGCGCAATCAAGTCCAGGTGGTGTCAGCCAAGTCATCCCGAGCCCGGTCGCAGTTAGCCTTTCCATTGTGAGTATAGCAAAGACATGCAATTCCAGACGCCCACAAGGCGCCACACTCCCACATGACGATAGCAAGGTCCCATAGCTCTATGATTTTCTGTCCGTGGGGATAAGCCAGTTCGGCGGCGAGAACAGCCCCCACGTACTCACCCTCACAAGGTAGGCTATCAGCCCCCTTAACGTAAGCGAGGACAGGCGCTACAAGAAGGTCGATGACGGCACGGGTTTCCGGCAAAGGGTCAGAGGAAAGGATCGATTGGAGCCGTGCCTCGGCGTTGGCGAACGGACGCTCCCCACGCTCGACCTGAGTGCCGCATGCTCGGAAGTGCTCCAAAGAGGGCCTCTCTGTCGGCACTGTGGCGGCGATGGCTGCTTCGACACCGAGATCTGTCCTGCCGAGAAGGGTGATAGGTCTGTGTCGGCAGTTGGCGAGCTGCCACCAGTGCGTGAAGAGAAGACAGAGGGCTGCGGGGTTATAGGGATCGTTGTCCCGATACCAGATCATGGCACCAGTCAAGCGCGAGTAAACCTCAGCTAATGGTTCCTCCTCCAATGACCCCCGCGTCAGAGAAGGGATGATGTTGCTCACTTCTCCGCAGGCGACATCAGCTCCGAGATCAACCCAGTCGTGTGCAACGCACCCAAGACCGGCGATGGCAGCCATATTTTCACCGCCACCCGCGTCGTAGTAGACGTGACAGAAGACGGCATCGGCCAATTTGTAACGGGCAAGCCGGGCGAGATCGTCCCATATAACTATACACGGGCGGGAGGGGACAGGGTGGACATCCTCGATGATGGTCTTCTGCCGTAAACAGCCATAATTGCAGCCCTTGACGATTCGTACATCGGCGACGTGCGGGCCAGCAGAAGGGGATACTTCAGCGACGGCAGCTACATCCGAGAAAGCAGAAAAGAGTTTGTCTGCCATATCGGAGTCTTTGACACCTACAGAGTAGTCAAGGACAAAACCTGAGTCCATGAGAGCCCACAAGCCAGAGATTGAACCGCCATAGACGCCCCTGTTGTAGCCTACACCCATGGAGAAAATGCTAGTGTTGACCAGAGGGCCTTCGCAGCCCTCTGCTGCGATGAGGTCGACAGTGATCTGATCGGGTGATAGCGCCACGCCGCTCAGCTTCGGTGGGAGGGGCTTGCGAGCAGAGCACCACGAGGGGAGTTCGACGGTTCTCACTTCCGCGAATCCTAGACGCTCCGTCGTTCCAGTTGTGATCACCTTATCACGAGCTTCCAAGAGAGTCGAGGCGTCGGCTAGAAGCCCAACTGCACAATCGACGGCGTCTGCAACGCGCGTGTTGCGCATCCAAGAGGTACTTGCGGCGGCCGCCAGAACTCCCCCGGTCTGAGGGGTATCGAGACGACGCGCCAAGGTGACCGATGTTGTCAGTGTGTCGGTTTCAGGGATATATTGCTGGGAAAATTTGCTTGATCCAGCCTCGACCGGCCCTATGCCGTGCGTCTTGAGCGACCAACAAGGGGCTCCAAGAGGGTAGGCCATAGTAGTTCCTTCTCCGATGAGATGGGTTGTACCCCATGTCGAAGAAAGGCGGACGGTGGCAGCAGGGTCCTCTGCCGAAGACTCGTCGGTGCGATCAGTCCAGTGGGAGACTACGGGCAGACAGTCGAAAGCAGGCGAGCGGCTGAGACCACCGCTGGTAACCAACCCCGGTACAAGGTCAGACAAGGGCTGGTCTGGATTCTTTTCTCTGCGAGACAGCCCAAGCTCCTCCGAACGGGCCAGGATATTGTCGAGCTTGGCTTGATACTCGCTATCTGGTTTGCGGCGTTGCCCACCCCAAGTTGTGGGACTAACACCGGCCATTTTGTGCCTCGGTTCCAAAGATGAAAGCTTGGTGTTGGAAATGAAGTCGGTTGCGTCCCGGCAGTTCATCCGTTGGTCGAATGAAGCCTGTTTATCGGCTCGGGGGTCAATGAGCCCGCCACCGAGAGCTAACTCGGAGAGAGCACCTGTCCGGGCGATATAAGGCATGTAGGATTCAATAGTACGAATGTTTGATCGATGAGTGTAGTTTTTTTATCTCTCTGCTATGAGATCGGAGGGGGTATTTATGTGAAACATCATACAATGAGCGGCGAGCCTGACAGTAGAAAGTCAGGGTTGTTACACGAATATCTACTATGCACGTAGTATATTTGAGTTTAGTAGAAACTCCATTTGGGGTAGATTGCAGTTCGGGGTAAGTCTGCAGCTCATATTTGTTTAAATTTAAATAGTTCTCCACGTTGCTTCCATATCTGTTTCTTCCTGTTGCCCCGCTAATTCCAGTAGTACCGGATAAGTGTATAGGGAGACGTGTAGTAACATGACTATCTTGACTGTTCACTACAGGAAAATTGGCGTATGACATAGAATCGGTCAACCATAGTAAGTGGACCTTAATCCTCAATTGATATATTTACATATTGGGCGTCCTGTAGCCTTCGTATTCAGTTGATGATCCTTGTGTAACATTTCCAGATATACAATATACGGTGGTAAGCCTGCAATGCATTGATTTAGATAACCTTCGACCTGCACATATGAACTGAATACCTAATTAGGCAAGAATCAGTGGATTTTAGGTTCTGTGTAACGTTGGATGAGATCGTGTAACCTGAAACGGTTGCAGGGGAGATTCCAAGGTTGGAACTAGTCTCGGATTTAGAGATATCTCCGATGATCGTCGAATACAGTACTACTCCTACTGCACTATTGCATCACGCACAGGCACTATCTGGCCCATTATCTACTTACATTGGGCCACGGGTGGTCTTGGATCAATGAACGAGATGCTTTAGTAGCCAAGTGACCAAGTGGGACTATACTATGTGTTTTAATATCTATGGCTGTCATGCTCTATCCAGTGGATATTCAAGTAAAACATGCATTTGCATTTGCCCTTTGGTAAATTTGTCTGAAACCAGGCCGCTCATACGATGCAACTGATCGAGAAAGACTGCAGATGAGCCGAAAATTGCGGTGTAGACATCAGTAAATAAGATATAGTATTCCGGAGAACAAGAAAATAGCAGTCTCGCATCTCTCACTGCCTTTGCCCGAATGCAAACCGCCTCCATGTTCCATCCACGTCCTCGCACAGAGTCATGAAACTGTCATCGTCGATCAACTCGCACATCCAGTTCTCAAGAAAGGCAATTCGGTCAGCTGTTGGTGAAGACAAATACTGCGCAAGATGGTCTTCTGTCGGGCCTTTGGCTGTATTGTTTGGCTTGCTGGCCGGCTGGTCGTTAGAGTTAGAGTTAGTTAGATTATCCTGCGAGTGCGATGTGTTCTGAACGCGGGGTACTTGGGGTGTCTGTTCGGTGGATTCGCAGGCTGGAGCGGTTTTTTGCGAGGCAGTAGGCTCTTCATAAAGTAATAATGGCTGACTAGCCTCGGGGCAAGCATTTGTTTGGGATAAGAGTTGTGAGTTGGAGTCGGGCAAAGCAGAATAGGTATTAGGCTCCACCACGAGTGGTTGTGTATCAGGTTGTGTATCAGGCTGTGGATCAGGCTGTGGATCCTTGGTTGGCTCAGTGCGTTGAGAACTTGGCGGCAGAGCTGACTGGGGATGCTTCTGTGCTGTTCGAGTCAAGTTTGCAGCTTGCGGTTTCCTTGTGGTTGGCTTTGAGAAGGGTAGGTCTCTCTTGGGAGGGAGCATCTGATTTAACTGATCGACATCATGGATTGCAGATATGGTGGAAAGCTGAGAGCTTGGTAGATCTGGTTCTTTGTTCGACGTATGTGGGAGAACAGATGCATTCAGTGGTTGAGACAAATCTACCGGTTCCATGTTTTGGCATGGTGGGTTGAAAGCTGGTACAGGGCCCAATCTGGACGTAGGGTGTGAAATAGTGCTCGCGGGAGATGATGCTCGAATTGGTGCTACCAAAGCAAGAATGTGAGATAGCTGCTTGAGGTGTTGTCAGAGTAATCGTTACATACTTGTCCTTCCAGACCCTAACGCTCCCATGGGATAAAAGTGGACTCCATTGCCCCCAGTTGAAGTTGACGCCGTGGTTGTAGTCCTGGGGGCAATGGAAGACAGCTGCCCCGATGTCCAGGACGACACTGATGGAAATCGTTGTATTGCTGGAACTGGTATCTTGCCTTCTGTCAATGGACAGTTGATTTCGCCCAGAAGAGTCAAGGCCATGAAGTAGTCACGCTCTGTAGTGAACTTGATCTGAAATCGACGAACCTGTGGATTCAGAAGGCATTTATGTTAGGAATAAACTGCCGGAAGCCATATGCAGAATATACACACATGTGTTTCACCATGAGGATACTTGACTGCAAGACAAGGCGACTTCACAACGACAGCAAAGTGTGGCCTTGGGGGTGGAATCAGCTGGGCCTGCATTCCTACCATGCGAATGAAGAATACGAGATCAAGTTGCTCCTAGATTGGATGACCCGGACGTTCAGAATTACTGGCTATGAAGCTTTATGCGTGAGTGGGAGCGTACTAGTATGCCATCACCTCGAATCACTTTTTGAATCATCCTTGATGGTATAGACCCGGAATCGAGGAACTTCTCAAATATGCAAGCCAGGTCTCCATTCCCAGGGACATGATTCCAGGTCAATGGACCGACATGATCGATGGCAGTGGTTGTATGGGAGAACTTGGCAATGGGTAAACGAAGGACCTGGGGAGGGATGGGTGGTTGCAGATGCTGCATCTTATAGAGGGAGAGTAATCAACAAAGGGTACAAGGTTAGAAACCATCCATTGATATAATATAGATGACGAGAGAGCGTGGTGTCTACCTAGGTAGTGGAATAATGTTCGTGATGAGGGAGAGGGAAGTTCTCGGTGCCAGCACTCCCAGTTCATTAGCCTTGCCCACCCCATTAGCAACTTTTAATTAGTGTGCAACCAAATCTCTATGTAGCAAATTTGAAGTATGCCTGGGGCTTGTATTTTATTTTCAAAGTATTCGAAGCTCTTAACTAGTAGTCATGTTGAGACTGGAAAGTCATCACTGCTAATCAATCGAAATTGAGATCTTCATTGTTGCATTGAAATTAGAAAATAAGTAAATTCCCAATCAGGGCCTGGAGACTGATCCTTGTCTCTACTGTCCCTATAGTCTTCAATGTTGTTGTCCCTATACTCTTGTCCCTATAGTCTCTGTCTACAATTGAAGAATGTGTTGGTCGAGGTCGTATTGTAAAAACAGGGGTCCAGTCTCTGTATTTCTGTATTTATAGTTACGGAGACTTCATTACATAATATAAATTACAAAACATGAATCCTCCGGTATGTAGAATGTGAAAACCTGAGGCATCAAGATATAGTGGGCACAAGGATTTTCTTAGTCATCAATGGGAACAACGTTTAATCCGATAACGCGCGCTGGAGAAGCGCGGACTTTTGGCTGATCAGTGCCGTTGATCGCAAGCCCAGCTCTAGCCCTCCAGGGCCGCAAGGCATTGACAATAATTTTACTTTTGCAACATATCGCTGATTTTGATCGCCTACGCGCAAATTTACTACTGCCTTAGAACTGCCGTTGCTGCTGAGCACTTTGCTCTTTTCACCGTCGCATCCAGTCCAACATTCGAACGCGCGAAACCTGCGACTCAAGCCGTCTCACAGCCACTAACCGTCCCTATCACCTCTTTCGGTCAGAATCAACGTTGTATCGCCTTCGGACTCCGACCCTTGAAAAGCCGCACGAAGTCGCAAGTTTGACACCCCTGCAATTTCTCCTCGACTCGTTTGCAAACAAAACGTATCAAGGGCAGCATCTCTCGAGCCATATACTCAAAGTCTTCGGTTTTGAAACTAGAAGGTCTAGTTCTCGATTGCCCCTCGAATACTCGAGGTCAAGTTTGTCGGTCTCTTCCGTTGCAAAGACGGAATCACCCCGTGCGTCTTGAAAACGTGAACGGCGCGACGCTGTCGCGTTCCTTCAGTAGCACCATGTCTGGCTCTACCCCTCGCACCTCGCTGCGACGTAAGACTACCATTTCTCAGACGACAGGTGTGGTACCTATACTAACACCACCCGCAGAGGGCTTACGCCATGCTCCAAAAATCAACCAACCCTTCATCCCCGATACAACCCCTGCCCGTCGATCACACATCCATCACGGGCACACATCTCCACAACCACCAATCAGCCCCCATCAAGTAAACGTCAATCCGGCCGCCAATCCCCAAAGCGCGCAGTTTGTGGTCGATAGCTGGGAAGGAAAGGACAATCGACAGGTTCCCATGTCGACAAGGGAAGTCCCGACCCCAGGGAACCGACCGGTCATATTTTCCCATCTGCGTGACCCTTCGAAAATGCCCCGGCAATTGGATTATCACGACCCTTATTTCCCACTGAGATATCTCGAAGTTCCAAGGAGTCGGTCTCCCTGCATTCCATGAATCGACTAGAAATACTAACGGTCATTGTTTTCTCTAGCGGATCACATCTACAAACGTGCTCACTACGGTCTGCAGTCAGGTATTCCAGACGAAGTCGACTTTGCGCTGTACCACCTGGTACAAATTTCAAATCAACGATGGGATAAATTCAAGTTTGAAGGATTTCCCTTGCTTGCAGAAACTTTGATGCAGAAAGCACTTGACATCACACAGCTCTGCACGGGGGTGAAGTGGGAATTCCAGTATGATCCTCGGAAACCGATTGACCGTGTCAACGTGCTCAATTCGTTGCATGGCACCCGGGATATCCTGGCCAAAATTAGCAAAATCCCAGTGAACCTCCCAGACGACAGCCTCGAGACATACGACTTCAATCATCGGTTGAGAAACATCAAAGAGGCCACGTTAGTGTTGCGAAACATGGTGCTCCTGAAGGAGAACGCATTCTATGTGTCACGTTATGCAAATGGTCTCTTACGGGACTTTTTGGTCATCTTGATCAATGCTCCCAACCAACCTCGGCTGAATGAGATCAAAAATGACGCATTAGATATTGCCGAGGAGGTCACCAAGTTCTTGCGAACTGACCATGAAGATCCGTTGTGGATTTCTTTGGTGAACTGCCTTGACTCCCCAGACCGCGCTCACGTCGTGCGGTCCCTATGGGCTTTAACACATTTCGGCACTGAGCTGGACGATGCGGATGCCAACCGGGCCATGGAAACCCTGACCAAACCGACTCTTCAGCAGATGTACTATCACACGCTTCTTGACCTTGACAAGGATATTCTGAGTGGTGCACTGGACTTTTGGTATCAATACACGCTCAGTCATGACAACATCGAAACATTGATGGATGTCCTCAATTTCCCAATCGTCTTTGTCCCTCGCATGGTCGCACTTCTGACTTATGAAGCACGACCTACCAAAAAAGAAACTGTTCTCCAGGAAGAAAAAGTCGCACCTCCACCCACTGACATCCCTCGTGTATCCCCGGAGCTTTTGGAAAAGCTCATGGAACTTTCCGAGCCGGAGCGAAGCTCCCAGTGGCTGCGTTGCTGCTTCATCGAGGATGCAGAATGCGAGATCACACAGATTGCTTTATGGCAAGCCTACCAGAGCCGATTTGCAGATCCTCGTGTCACTGGAGGGGGTGTTCTTCCCGCTGCAGAGTTCATCAAGAACGTAAGCAACACATTCACAAACGCTCAAGCGCAGGTCATCAACGGCCCCGGCACTGCCACCAAATTCATTATCAAGGGCATCCGACCTTTAGAAACGGCACACACATTTGAGGGCTTCCCTTATTCCTACTGTAGATGGGCGGACAACTCGAAGCCTTCAAAGATGTGTCAACGTGCATTCACATCTCCGACAGATCTCCGGAATCACGTTTTCGGTGACCACATGAGCCTGGAACCCACAGACACCCCCGGCCAGTATAAGCTTGATCCCGCAGAGACTCCCATCCACACCTGTCAATGGGACCACTGCTCACGGTTCCGAGCATCTGGGCCCAGCCCCAACACATCCATGGTCGCCGGTCATGTTTCATCGCATCTGCCCGAAGATCGCCCCGCAGACGCACAGCCCACAACTGCCAAGCGCGTAGTTCTCCAAGAGCGCATCGTCCGCAAATGGTACTATATGGACACTCCGCTCAATGAAAAGTGCGAGCCATTCGGCGTAGCCTACAAAGCTGCCTTGGTGCTGCGCAACATCGCCCGAGGCCTGCCGAACCGGACGACGTCCAAATATGGTGGTCTTCCCTGGAAGAAGGCCTGCTTCACCAGCCAACGCCCCAAGATCGTCGAAGTCTGGGACCGAAATCGTGCGCTGCGTAAGGAGCTTACCGAGTTGATCATGGTGATCGAGAAAGAAGTAGACTATTAAAATTTCCCTTACATGTTTTCCGGTGATGCAATTGTCTCTTCTTTTCTTTTCTCATGAATTAATATCTCTGTACGATTAATACCCTGATTATTCATGTTATCACTGTCCTTCTGGTTCCTCGGTCCTCCGTTTTGTCTAAATGTACAATATCTAAGATCCAGGACCACATTGGCGGTGTTTTCTTGTTTTTTTTTTTTTTTTTTTTTGCTTTGTTTTTATTTTTTAATGGCTTGTCACTTTGATTTAAGCCCAAGTTCGCAAAAAAAGCCCCCGAAGAATGGAGTTGTATTACTATCTAGGTACATATCTCTACGTAGTATTTTTTTTACTCAATAAGTAAAAGTGCGCCATATGTACGGGCGACTAAGTATGCCACCTGGGGCATAACTCTCTCATTGGATATTGACTGACAGCTGATCTCACCGCCCCCTCGAAGCACAAGTTTAATCTGTATACTAATTTCAACTTCTCTTTTATTCTTGTTCCTATATCCATTAATCATTTTAACTCTATAGAGTAGAGGAGATCAAAATACATATAAAGTAATGTATTGTGGTCGTTGTATATAAAGGTAATAGAGGAAAGGAGAGTATATACTAGTAACTAGACTACTCATGAGAGATTCAATACTAATCAATATATCGACCTATAATTGATCTTAAACCTTATAATGATAAAGTCATCTTTCATTCTATATACGATACCTATTTCAATTCAATATATTTCATATTTCATATATTTTTTTGATATTTGATACTTGATATTTGATGTAAAGTGGCCTTAGGCATTTATTTTAGTGCCTTAGGCATCGACCCCTTAAGTAGGTAATTAGTCGGCATATCATACCTCTCTCCCTCCACAGTTTCTAGGACTAACTTTATATGGCATAGTTATGGATAGCCATGTAAACCTAGTCAACTTCGGGATTAAGATTTATGGAGCAATTGATAGATACTCTCGTTATGTCCAATAGTTAATTAACAATTAGTTTTTGTATGGCGAGAGTGGATCTAGAATACTGCCAGAAAATATAAACCAATGAGAGAGTTATGCCCCAGGTGGCATACTTAGTCGCCCGTACATATGGTATTTTCCGTATCAATTCTGACCTTCCACTGCCAACTTACTATTACCTCCTTCGTATAAATTCTAGTAGTTACTACCTGTATCTCAATTTTCCTAATAAGTAATCTTGTTAGGTAGTCGTAGTCTTCTCCGATAATCTTTTATATATCTTTAGATAGTACTCCGCGGCCAGGGAAATTAGTGGCTTCCATAACACAGGATTCAAGTCTACGAGTTCCTATCAAAGCAAGGATATATAGTTGGCCGCTGTTCGTTCTTCAATTTCCTTTTCGCGGTGAATTGTGTTTTGTAAGACCGCATATTTATACAAGTTACTTTTTGAATGAAATGCACTCTTTTCTTTGAGAGAACTTAAATGCAGCTAGAACTCCGTAATTGTTCAGCCGAAAGTACAATAAGCCGTTTAAGAAGCCCTAGCCAGCCAGAACATCATTGCCTATTGAGATCTTCACATAATTCTCAGGGTTTAGGAGAGAATGTTAATACTTTGTCACAAATATAAAATGTTCCTGAAACGTCATTTTTCAACTTGATTTCCAATGAAATCGAATTCTATATACCGACTGACGTGATGTTGGCCAAACCAGTAAATGTAAAACAAGAGAATAGCAAAGCAAATATGAGTGAAAGCCTTTGGATTTCCCCATTTATGATTGCCTTGATCTTCGCATTCACCTCCATGCTTATCATTGTCTTGACTTATTGCCTGTATTATTTGCTGAGCGGAGCCAAGCAAAACAATGCACTCTATAGAATTTGACCTTGGATTCCAAAGCGATATTGAATGAGACATACTAATTCAGTCATTAACATTAGAAAATAAGGCATCTGACCGCCCACTGTCCTCCTTCCCAGAGCACGGAAGAATATCTGACATCAGGATGAGTCGTTCACCAGGTAGACATCTCTGGCGGCTACTTTCAACTAGAACGTCTCTATTCTCTATACCTGACACGAATATGACCCGGTCTCAACATGCAATCTGCGGACGAGCTGAATCAACCAAAATTTGCCTTAACCCTACCTGAAGAGAAAACCCAATATGAGATCGAGATCGAACAGAGTGGAGATGTTGATGCTCTTCAACGGTATCGGTGGAATGTGGTCAATCAAATGGAGTATTGCTGCGTTCATCGAGCGCTTGAGCTACTCCGGGTAGAACAAGACCTTCGAAGTACTGTCCAGGAAGAGCAAAGCCTCATCGAGAAGCCCGCGACCACGCGTAACTGGCCAATCTACAATAATACGCAGGCTAAGCTTCAGGCGCTTGATAAGAGATATTGGTTGCTAGAACGACAGTGGTGGAAAGTCCGAAACTCATTCGTGGAGGGACCGCTAATACGAGCCTTTGACCTATGGCGATCACATCCTCTCTGGTATATGCACCGAGTTTTAGTCGAGGATTGCGAGAGAAGGGGAGGGTGCTGTAGCCGTAGCTGTGGATGTTGTGTTAATCGTAAGATTAATAAGACACGACAGCTTGGAGCTGGACATTGTATGGTGGCATGTGGATGCTGTCACCGAGCCCGGGGGTTTGAGCTTACTGAAAAAGAAAAGATGGGATTGCTTACGGATTTCCATATCGTGGGCGACTATAGTTTATACCGCCAAAGGATCAATCGAGTTTCAATATGGGGGTTATCTCTTGATAATCATGTCAGTCCTTTTGATATGATTATAATGCCCCCAGGATGCGAGAAGGTTATCTCAAAAGCGCAGATGAGAAAAGGCAAGGCTGAACAAGTCGATGAAGCATCTGCTCTTATTGACGAAGAGGAGAAGGAAGAAGCTGCGTCAGGCTGTGCAATGTAACTCTTGCTTTCATCTTAAAAACCCCTTATCGAAACTAGCAGTCGTTCCTGAAGTTTAACCATTACCTGGGCTACCCCTTCCTATTTAGGAACATTCGTGCCTGCCATTGTAGTTCACATCTCACGTGTACCTTACTACCTTCCTACCTATCGTCGCGTAGATTTTTGATTCTATAAACATCCAAATTCCAACATCAAATTCCCACATTTGCAATCGTAAGTCCATCCAGCACTCACTCCAGCACTCACTCCAACACTCACTCCAACACTCACTCTAGCACTCTCACCACTCTCTCCGGCACTCTCACCACTCTCTCCGGCACTCACTCCAACACTCATTCCAGCACTCACTCCAGCACTCACTCCAGCACTCACTCCAGCACTCACTCTAGCACTCACTCTAGCACTCACTCTAGCACTCACTCTAGCACTCACTCCAACACTCACTCCAGCACTCACTCTAGCACTCTCACCACTCTCTCCGGCACTCACTCCAACACTCACCCCAACACTCACTCCAATACTCACTCCAATACTCACTCCAACACTCACTCCAACACTCACTCCAACACTCACTCCAACACTCACTCCAGCACTCACTCCAGCACTCACCCTAGCACTCTCACCACTCTCTCCGGCACTCACTCCAACACTCACCCCAACACTCACTCCAATACTCACTCCAACACTCACTCTAGCACTCTCACCACTCTCTCCGGCACTCTCACCACTCTCTCCGGCACTCACTCCAACACTCATTCCAGCACTCACTCCAGCACTCACTCTAGCACTCACTCTAGCACTCACTCCAGCACTCACTCTAGCACTCACTCTAGCACTCACTCTAGCACTCACTCCAGCACTCACTCTAGCACTCACTCTAGCACTCTCACCACTCTCTCCGGCACTCACTCCAACACTCACCCCAACACTCACTCCAATACTCACCCCAACACTCACTCCAATACTCACCCCAACACTCACTCCAATACTCACTCCAACACTCACTCCAACACTCACTCCAACACTCACTCCAACACTCACTCCAACACTCACTCCAACACTCACTCTAGCACTCTCACCACTCTCTCCGGCACTCTCACCACTCTCTCCAGCACTCACTCCAACACTCATTCCAGCACTCACTCCAGCACTCACTCCAGCACTCACTCCAGCACTCACTCTAGCACTCACTCTAGCACTCACTCCAGCACTCACTCCAGCACTCACTCCAGCACTCACTCCAGCACTCACTCCAGCACTCACTCCAGCACTCACTCCAGCACTCACCCCAACACTCACTCCAATACTCACCCCAACACTCACCCCAATACTCACCCCAACACTCACTCCAATACTCACTCCAACACTCACTCCAACACTCACTCCAACACTCACTCCAACACTCACTCCAACACTCACTCTAGCACTCTCACCACTCTCTCCGGCACTCTCACCACTCTCTCCAGCACTCACTCCAACACTCATTCCAGCACTCACTCCAGCACTCACTCCAGCACTCACTCCAGCACTCACTCTAGCACTCACTCTAGCACTCACTCCAGCACTCACTCCAGCACTCACTCCAGCACTCACTCCAGCACTCACTCCAGCACAAGAGTATGGTAGGAGTGCTAGTAAGAGAGTGAGGTAGGAAGTGCTGGAGGAAGAGCTGGAGAGAGTTCTAGAGGGAGTGTAAGGTGGGAGTGCTCGATGGAGTGCTCGAGGGAGTACTGGACGGAGTGCGAGGTGGGAGTGCTAGTAGGAGTGCTAGAGTGCTGGAGGGAGTGCGAGGTAACACTCCCACCTCACACTCCCACCGGCACTCCGTATCCTTCTACTAACGTGGCATGTCTTATCTAAGATGTCTAATGCATACGCTGCGCCGGTTGGCGGCTGTCCCCCGATCACCGATGAAATTCCCCATCCGGGGTCTGCTGAGAGCCTGTTGTCTGCCCTGGGCCCGTCTGGAGTCCTCTGGTGTGTCTGGGGCTCTTCCTTTTCTTTCTGGCCGTGGTGGTGGCCTTGCGCCTGGACTACTTTGCCAAGCGCATGATCGACCGGTATGCCTCATATTTACGCTAAACCCTACAAAGCGGGATACTTATAGAAATTACAGTCGCTTCCCTCCGCCACCGGAGTTGCCGGTGCGGCTTCGGCCGTTAATGACTGCCGACGACCATGCTCGGATCCTTGAGCGGTACAACAGTACCAGACACGAGCAATAAAGGGTAAGTCCACTGTGTGTTCTTGTGTACTAAATTCCAGATCTACTATTTACCGAGAGTATACATACCTACATATTATTACGACGAGTTTCCTTATGTTTGTGCCATTTCTCTTTTGTTGATGCAATGGGCTTGTCTGAAAGTGCTAACAAAGCTTGCTACAGATTGGAACGAAATTTTTATTTTTATAATATTATGCGGGCTATGAAACGAATACAACTCCCATTTTTACTCCAAGCTGGGTCTAAACTCCTTCGTAGCACGTAATGGATATGGATTACCGCAATATTGTATACATGGATGTAGACGTCCACGTCAAAACCTGCGGTGCAAGGTATACTAATTGAAGAGTTGAGAAAGCGAAGAACTTAAGACTAGACTATGAGACCTAACAGATCAACCAGGGCAATAAGAAAAGGACCCTTATACTCAGTAGTCCCCCGTAGACATTCCACCTACAGTCGGAACATGCTGTCCATGGAATCCAAATCCAATGGCCCCATCGACATTTGCCCGGCCAAGCTCCGACAAGCTACGAGCATCGAGGCAGAGCAAATAGCTCTTCCCAAGCATTCCGTCGAGAACCACGCTGAGAAGTACACCATCATCTTCACTAGTACCATCGGGGTTAGCCACGAAAATGGGCTCACCGGGTGATTGGCCGTGACATGCCCAGAGCCGAACTTGCTGAGTATCACAATCAAGTTTCATGATACCATCTGTCAGAGTTGACTCTCCACGGAAGGTCACGGCATAAACATATCGGTGTTTCTGGGTGAGTATTTTCGGATTCAAAGTCGGCAGCTCAGGCGACAACGATTTGCAAACAGACCACTCGACTGTCGCTTTCTTGGGATCAGTGCACGATGTGGAAGTCACCGCAGGCAGACGGAACCGGGTAAAAGATGTGCGGAAAGAATTATCTCTCTTCTTTTGAAAGGCCTTGGCTGTATCCAACGAAGAGATCAAGTTCTCGTAATAGAGGGATTGCACAAATTCAGAGCTATCGGCTCTCACAATATCTGCAACAATATCCATCTCCGCGGGATTCTCCTCTGAGGGTTCGAGCCATGCGTTGACCGTGTGGAAGCAAAAGAATGCAGGGCTTTCGTATGTCGCGATCAATCCCTTCCCGTGCTTACGGTCAATGACATACCACACTGCCGGCTGGCTTGGGTCTGTTGGCAAGATGGCCTCTATGAATGAGGAGTCCAGTAGCTGTGGGTTTATGTGCGCGTTCCACACACATAGGACAACATGGTCCTCGGTGATGAGGAGGGAGTGCAGATAAGCTGGTGTTGCCGGGAAGTTTGCTAGGATTGAGGTCTCCCCCGTTGAAGCCGAGACCCTGAAAACACGATAGGTAGAGGTTGGTCCCAGGGTGAGATTATAATTGAATATGTCTCCCGTGATAGGATCAGATCGAGCATGAGATGCAGAGAGTTGGCCCGAAAGTTCGGGGTGCAGATTGGTCTGTGTGGCTAGGCCAATGGGCTCTAGGGTTTCCGGATCAAGCTTCTGGAAGGCATTATAGTCGGTCTTCGCATAGAGAGTTCGAATTCCCGTAGAATCACTCCAGTGTGAGGTCGACTCTTCAGGCTTGGGATTGAGGCCTGGCATGTTAATCGAAAGAGTGACGGATATGTTTTTACTCGATGGAGTGGGTTGCGGGACATATTCAGTCTGCACTTTGCCCAAGACGCTCTTGCAGGGATCACGTTTCTGTCCGAAACTGACCATATCCAGTGATCCTGTCTTTCTTGCCTCTTCGATCAGGTCGTCAGTTGAGAAGCGAGAGTTGTAGAAAACTCGAGGTGAAGTATTGGAATCATCCGAAACAAGGATCTGGAAACGATGGGTTTGACCGAATCCATCGAACCAGTGGGAGAGCTGAAGTGTTTCTCCGTTCTCAGCTTCAATTTGCCTCTTTCCTGGGCCTGTACGGTACAAGACTCCAGCAGCATAGGCAGGAATCTGTCCGGTCACGGAGAGCTCGACGGGCTTACGCTGTTCGTATTCAGGGTCGAACTATGTAGGGATTAGTAGATATATATAAACCGAGGTGTCCATCACTTCACTTACACCTTTGTCATTGGGCCAGCCGTTATAATAATCTTCATTCATACCATTCTCCATGGCTGATGAGTCTTGGCCAATAGAAGGCATATTTCCAAGTTTGTGATAGATCTGTTCAGGTGGTTGATATTGTTGCCTAATGTTTCAGGCCAGTGGCTTTCCCACGACTTCTCTTTCTTCTCTTGTAGAGTAGACAATTTGGTTTACTGAAGAGACTGACAGGTCGACTCTTCAAAATTGACCCTTTATATCTAATTTTTAACCCTTTGACTGTTTTGACCCCTTTTACAATAATATTGTAGGCCTAATTTTTGTGTTCGTCATTGGCGGGGGAATCGCGACGGGCTGAATTCCACAACCGACCTCTCCTTTCCCCTCGCCAATCGCCAACGTCGAATTACCGAGTCTCGCTCATCATCGTCACATCGAGTCACGCCAAGTCTACAACTGACTTCGGATCTCGGATTGCACATTCAATTTTGGTTTCATCCGGGACGTCGTGGCGGGATACACCCACACGAAGGCTGTTTATAGCTTGTCCTCCGAACGCAAATCACCACACCATCCGAGATTATCCTGTTCACCTTTTCGGGATCCTTTATTAGACCGACGCCAATTCCCCCCATGAAGCAACAAGTACGGAAACCCGAGACCAAATCAGGGTCAAAGGTGTGGAAATGTAAACAATGCACCTCCAATTTCCAGCGATTAGATCATATGAAACGACATGCCCTTACTCGTATGTTTCCGATGATATTCGGTGGGATATAGAGTACAGTAATGACTTCCCACAGATCACACGGTAAAGAGCCACGTCTGTTCATTTTGCGGCTCTACATTCAGCCGAGGGTGTGTCATCTTCCATCACTTCCGAAGAAAGCGATGTCACCCCGTCATGTGTGCTGACGAAAGTACTCAGAGATGTGCTACGGAGACATTGGAAATCGTGCAAGGCCCGTGTAGACAGTGGCCATGAGATCCCCGAGCCGGAGCGCGGTGGGAAACAAAAACGTGCTTGTGATAGTTGCGCTGGCCTCAGGAAAGCTTGTAATGGCGAAATGCCGTGTGCGGAATGCACACAAAGAGAAAGACTCTGCACTTACCAACGTCTTCTCGACGACGAGATTCCTTTGCCATCCACATCGCAGGCTTCACTAGAGATCCCGGACATCGAAGGTTCAGGTGCAAATGATTATGCTCATAAGGTTTCTGAGTCAAGTTGGGAACTTGGCCCTGCAACACTTTATCCACCTCATGGAAAAATTAATGCCCGACGCCAGAGACTTCTTTTTAGTTGATTGGAAAGGCCAACAATCAACTGAGTCCAACCAGGATACGGGATCACGTATCTATTCACTGCTTGGTTGCGAGGCAAATGGCTTAGGTACTTGGAGACAATGTGTTTTTGACGGTATGACACATTATGAATGCAACAGGTCAGCTTAGATTCCTCCGACAATATTCTTTAGGTCAGCGCCATCGGAACTTAAAGAATTGAATCATTCCATGCTCTCTCGCCTTTCGCGGGCTATTCAGGGCGAAAGGTAGAAGAGAGACATGTTATACAAGATGAGCCGATGCTGTATTGTAATAGAAGATGGGTGCTAGGTAGCGCCATCTGAGTTAGGGAACTCGCTCGCGGTGATACATCAAACTCATTTAAAGTGTTTATTTGGTACACAAGTGGAGATATATTTATACATATATCACTGCTAGATATGATCGGGACATACCTGCAATCCAGGTTCCCCTTACACTAGCACCACGAGACGTGTTCTTCACCGTGGCAAGAAAATCGAATCAACGCTATCGTAAACATTTTCGATAAAATTCTCGTAACTCAACCAAGCCGTGTCATCGGAGCCACTTTGCAAGGTCGGGTCACTCAAATCCATCGCATCCCACACATTAGGCCAGGGCACCGGCGCAAAGGAAGTCGGCACTTCTGCGACGTGCGAGTCTCGCGGTGCACCAACAGCCTGTCCCAAATCAAGCGAAAAGTCCGTAAGATTCTGTTGATTCTGTTGATTCTGTTGATTTTCAGGTTGTTTCGAGAAAGGTCCGGTGGCAATGCTGTCGAAAGCGTATTGGCAAACCGGTTGGTAAGAAGCATCAACATCAGCACCGAGAAGCTCATTTCGTCGCGTTTTCGCCTGTGTCATGAGCCTCTCCAGAGGTTTCCAGAGCATCCCCTGCTCAGAATCTGCAATTATGAGCCGTGAGCGCTGGTAGACGTCGTCAACGACGGTCCAGTATTTTGACATCACCGCGGGGTTTTTGCAGACGCAGAGTTCGGCAAGGGCTACAGCCAATGCGTGCCACGGAACCCACATCGAGGCGTACCACCGCCAAGGCCTGGCACCTGGGTAGTTGTATGCCTCCTGTGACCACAGCAGGTTATCAGCAGCGATTTTAAGGAGGGCATTCTCTTGGATTTTCGGGGGATAAAGTTAAAGCTTCGTTGCAGAGGTCGGAGAGAGGCTAGTTGCAGCCAGCTGCCCATAACACCCGCTGTCTTCTGCGCGTACCACTGGAAGTCTGACAGGTCGGGCCTGCAGCCCCTCAGAAGATCTGATGTCTTTTGTTGGAAATCGTGGACGACTTGCTGCCGCAAACTCAAAATAGTCACGGCTGGCTCGGTGAGGTCTGAAAATGCAAGGGTTCGGGCTACGGATGCTGACGCTGCAATGACCAAGGTATGGGTCATGTCGGTAAATGTGCCATCTATGTGTTCGGGAATTGGACCTGGCATGTCGAACCATAAGTCCTCGTCGTTGATATTTGACGGCGGGTTGTAATCCAGCCATGCGGATTGCATCATGGGCTCGGATGCCCTGTCTAGGGAGGCTGCTACATCGAGAAGGCCAATTCCTAGCCAAGCTCGTTTGCGCATCTCGTGTTCAAAAGGGCGCACCGTGAATGGTGGATGTGGGATGTGGAGAGATAATGCCTGGCCTACTCGGAGTGCCATGCTCAACATGGTCCACACCCTTCGGCTTTGGTCTTGAGACCTCGCGGCGAGCTAGAAGCGGTTAGCCTACATTCTGGTAACATGTAGAGGCGCGAAAGACGAGAAGCTCGTAGTAGTACTCACCAGAGAGATAATATAAGCCTGGAGGACAGTGAGATCGTTTGTAGTGACAAAGTCCGCCCTCGCGAGCGCCGATTCGGTTTCTCTTTGAAATTCTGCGAGTACGATCTTTTTGCTCGTGTTGAAAATCGATTGGCATTCCCCTTCCTCAAGAGTACACACAGCGCAAAGATAGATAGCCGAAGCAAGGGTGGCTGGCGCTTGGTGATCCTGCTCATAGTCAAGATAAGGCTTCTCATCTTTGATGAATGCTTGTAGTGACGGTCGATGTAAAATTTTGAAGAGAGGATCAACGTTGCGGAAGAAAATGTCACATAACCTGTGCCGGATTTGCGGTTGGAGATTTAATCGGCTGTTGGCCTGGGGTGAATTTGATGAGCTTTCAGGGCTTTCCGAGCTCACAAGCGATGTGCCAAACCCAGATGCTGAATCTTTGACAGCGTGGTCCTCATTTTCTAGACGACCTTCCAGGACACTGCGCAATTCTTGGGTCTAGCGATTGTAATATAAGTTAAATCATGTCTACGAATCATGAATTCAACAAGCTCACCTGCTGCATAATATCCTCCCAAAATGGACCCCCAACATAGGCAGTGGAAGGGCGAGGAAGATGTGGCTGACCTGTAGCGGGTAAGTTATCATTCTGATCCTGCCGGATATTAGGACCGGCGTTGCTGGTATCTGCTGCCGACTGCTGCTGCGTGTATGGATATGCGGGCACAGTGAGAGCCGAGGCAACCTGTAATTCCTCTTCCCGCTCATTGGCGACTTTTTTCAAGAGTTTCTCGAGTCTCGCTACCCGCTCAGATAGTTCTTTGTCTGAGCCTACGATCCGCTCAGGTTTTCGCGTGCGACCGCGCGGGAGACGCGCACGTTCCACGGGAACACAGACAAGTCCAAGTCGCTGGCAGCTTGTACAAGGACTTGACTTGTCGCATTTCACTTTGCGCTGGCGACACGCCTCGCAGGTGAGGCGGACCCGTGGTGCGGAGGACCTTGAGTGGGTTGTCCCGGCTTGGCCCACGGGATCGGCCATTATTGTGGTGGGGACTCGAATTGGTCTGGATATAAAGCAAACGTGACTTGAGATGGATTGTATAGTTTGTGTAGTCACTGCAGTGTACACCTTGTTGAAGATCCACGGCTTTCTTGGCTTTTTGCATGGGAGGTCCTGAACAACCCCCCGCGAAGCTCTCCACATTAGATGTTTCTGGCCAATCAGAAGTCAAGTTGGTACATTTCATCTCTGCGGATGATCTGGGCAAGTTGAATGCATATAAAAAGAAAAGAAAAGAAGAAGAAGCATAGGTATGTAGATATTGGTTTCAGATAATAAAATTCATCTATTATTCAGTCCATAACTCGAGAGTACAGATGGGAAGCAATAAGAGTGTTCGATCGAGACCAGTGCGGCAACAACACAGTCGAGGACCCATAACCCAAAGATCTTTACTCAAAAGAACCATCAGTGGTGTGTGCCCAAAGCTCGGGGAGTGCCACTTAAGTGACGATAGTAATGGGTCTACTCCATAATGAGCACGGCATCAGGGGGTGAAGATCTGTGCGCTGCGGCAGAAGGTCAAAGCAAGAATATATATCCACATGGTATGGTTTATTGAAGTGAACACTCTAACGTCCACGGGTGTTCTTCGGGTGTCCCTTTTAGACGTTTGGCTATTAATGTTTTAGGTACTTCGTTAGAAAGGTTTCTGAGGTACAATACAGGTCGACAATACATACGTCCAGACCACTGATAATAATCAGGGATGGGTTGCATAACTAGGTACAACATATAACTGTGTAACTAGTTATGTTGTAGTCAACTAACTATGTATATCGGAAACCATTCAAATTCCCCGACACCGTGCACCGGCATTTCTCGGAAGTGTTGGGGACAAGTGGATAAGATCAGCATTCAACCTTTAGATTGTTTGATTTCACCAGTTAAAGCCTTCAAGATTGATAGTTGTGATTGAGACTGTAAATATTGAAATATTTCGATACTAATCCAATAAATATCCCCGAACTCCCCGAAATTGGAGTTTCTCGGGCTTCTAGGATGGTGCAGATAGAAAATTGGGCTGCAGAGATGAGTGAAGATCCCAGGAACAATAGGGTTAATTACGGGCCCCCACCTCCCCTCGAAGCGAGGAAACCTGATTCTTTATAGGATCTTATTTGAGGTTATTTGACACTATTAATTTAGTTACAACATCCAGTGGGAAAAAAAAAAGAGTAATTATTCCCACATTGTGGAGGTGTACGGATCCAATCGCAGTGCTATCGTGGTTCTAAGCAGGGGGAACAGCTTCCTATTATGTATATAGGCCGTGATGTCTGACCACGCGAGATGCCATGGGTCAAACAGCTGGATTAACCAATCAGAGAGTGTTTTGTTTATGAGAACAAAGTTTATGCCATGCAGAGACCATGTGCTCCTTTACCTTGCATATCTACCTAGGTATCTACTACTTTGTACATCCATGGATATAGTCATATATTAGGGCATATATTATTATATTACTGACATATCCAATATATCCAATGGATGAATGAGTACCGAGTACACTGTACAATGGACCTGCCAACTAATCTCTTCTAGTAATCTACGATTATACGATCCAAGACCACTGATCATCTTCGCCAGACAAGAACGGGGCCCGCTAACAACCAGGCTACTGGGACGAATATGAACACTCATCGAAATTAAATAGTTTACGGAGTACCATTATTGCCCCATCTCTGGCTCGGTGGCTGAATAGTGATCTTTGATCTTGACACCCGGTGGAGAAGATCTCGTGTTCCTCTCTCGCCTTTTTACTTATTTTGTTCTGCACACAATAATACTTCAACCTCTCATCCCTCTTTTGTACATATGTATTGAGAAGCGGGCCATTCCCCCGTAATCACGAGAGACTTCCTCTCGAGCATTGACAAAGTGGCGTTCATATCTACGTTATAAGTCAACAGAGGAACTTTGCGATCTCTCTTTCAGCGCATTGAATGCTCTCCTATTCACAATCACTCTGTGCACCAAACTTGGCTTTCACTCATTTATATACAGCCTTTATGACACAATGACTACTCTATCGACATCCCGCGGCCACCAGGCCCTTGCTGTCAGCATTGTGTTTACGACTATAGCGACATTTATCACTGCCATCCGTATATTTACGCGAGCATTCCTCGTAAAGCAGATGGGAGCAGACGACTATGTCATCCTAGTCTCTCTAGCCTTCTCGTGGATATTCTTCGGCCTGTTGGTAGGCGAAGTCTACCACGGTATGGGCGAGCACTATATCGCTATCCCGGCGCCAATCTACAAGGCTCAGATGATCGTACGCTTCATTCCACCAGAACAACCCTCCCAACGCAGTGCAGTTCCACTGACATGATTCTCTTACAGTACTTCTGGGCTTCAGTCCCTATATATCAAACAAGCCTCATCAGCACAAAGATGTCAATCCTTCTACAATACAAACGAGTCTTCTCCACGCCACGTATGCGTCTAGCATGTTGGCTCATGATCGGTGTTCTAGCTCTCTACGGAACCTGGACCGTCATCAGCGCCTGGGCTAACTGTGTTCCTCTGGCCAAATTCTGGGATCCAACGGTCGCCGGCTTCTGCTTGGATAAGAAAGCCTTGTGGTTCTCAAACTCGGCTATCCACATTATTACCGACATCGTCATTCTCGTATACCCAATGCCAGTTCTGAAATCGCTACAATTGCCCAAGAAGCAAAAGTTCGCTCTCATGGCAGTTTTCGCCCTAGGTGGATTGTAAGTCAAGCTATCCATATACCGACAGTCATCTACAATGCTAATCATCCCCCCCAGCGTCTTGATTACAAGTATACTCCGCCTCAAATCACTCCTCGTCATCTCCAACTCAGACGACCCAACCTGTAAGTTATTAAGAACACCCAACAAACCACCTTCCCTTACATCTGATCCAAATCTAACAAACCACCCTAGACGACAACGTCGGTGCAGCAACCTGGTCCGCCGTCGAATGCAACGTAGCAATCATCTGCGCCTGTCTCCCCGGAACACGCGCCTTCCTCTCCAGACTCTTACCGCACATTTTCTCCACCGGAAGCAACGGCTACCGCAGCAGGACGACACGACCTTCGCGAAGCGGCCGCAATCCACATACAGGCAACAGCAACAGCAACACGCAAGTCCTGGCCTCTGTCGTCGGAGGACGTGATCACAACCCGGGCTACGACCACGATTTAGAAGACCTGTCACCGTCTGGATCCTTCAATAGCTACACCAAGGAACCTGCGAAGGAGATCTTTGCGGGTATCAAGGTCACGACAAATGTTACGCAGGAGAGGACGTCGCATTCCAAAATTGCTGTTAATGACGACACGGGAAGTACGAATGAATTGGTGAAGAAGCATAGCTTTTGATCTATAATGACTTGGATTGGTTTGCGGGTTCGTTCTTTATACATATTTTCTTTTCTCTTCTTTTTTTTTTTTGGATGTGGCCTTCTCTCTTGTCTTATATACCTATGCTTTTATGTGACGGTCTTTTGCATACGTTCTCATTGTGATTTTATGCGATGATATACCCAATTACAACAAGCTAGACTTTCAATGTCTATACTATCGAATATACAAGGAGCCTTTACCTGAACCATCGAGGTAAGAAAACTGGCTAGTTACTGGTTCATTGTCACGGATTAAAATGGTCTAAGCCGTGTATTAAATACCCCAAAGCAAATTTGCATCAATGTGTCTGTCTGGCTCCTAGAAAGGAAATGGCTGGGATTACAACAATTTCATTAAACTAGCATCTTTTCTAACCTCGAGGCTACCTACAAATTCTTCAAACATGAGCTCTAGGTTATTATGAATACATTGTAAGACAAGTGTACAGATGTCGAAGAGAATAAAACGAGCTGATCATTCAGTATGCATGAGACCCGCCCATCGTACATTCGGAAGCCGCCCACATTTCAGAGACTAAGGGGTCGTGACAAAGTAAGATGCATGAAGGACAAAATAGAAAATAATTCTAGGCAAGGATCTCGAAAACGATGAACACCGGTATGTGCAATGTGCAATATGAAATTATGCTTGCAGATACGCAGATGTTATCATGCAAATCCTGGAAACTCAGGATAGGCGTGGAATCTGGATCTTTTGCAAAGAAGAGATACTCTACTCCCAAACGTTGGAGAAGAGGTCGTCAGACCCGCCAAATCCACCAGACTTGTTATTCGTGCTGGTGGAGGTGGGGTTGGAGACCGGGGCAGCACTGGCCCAGCCGCCGAAGTCCTCGTCCGCTGCCACAGTCGGTGCGGGCTTAGAAGCAGCACTGGGCGCGCCCCAGCCGTGGCCTACGTCATTCGGGGTCAAGGTATCCGGGACCTTCATCATGGATGCAGGCGAGAGTGCAGCAGAACCAGGTAGTGGGGCAGGATCAGGTGTGCTCCATGCGTTCCCGCCCCATGGATCAAGGCTTCCAGCCATCATGTTGGCTGCTGCTGCATTCGCAGCGCTGGGGGCTGGCGCTTTAGGAGCAGCAGGCTGGATCGGGGGAGCAGAAATATTAAACGCGGATTTAATTTCTTGCTGAGGGGAGGTTGCAGTAGACTTTGGGGGCGAGACTGTTGAGGTATTTGCAGGCGGCGAAGAAAACCCGAACAAGTCATTTGACAGGGACGATGATGGAGGGTTAGGCTTAGCAGTCGGGGAAGTAAATCCACCGAATCCGAAATCTTGCCCGGTAGAGGAGACGGAAGTTGTTCGTGACTGGGACTTCGGGGCTGACAAGGTCGGGGAGGTTAAGCCATCAAAGAAGTTGCCGCCCGCAGAGCCCGAGGGCGATGTGACCTTCGGGGCAGCAGGGGTTGACTTGGCGCCGCCGAAAGATGAAAGACTAGAGAATGCTGATGGCTTCTCAGCCGGTTTGGCGGGTGGAGGAGAAGTAGTGGTTGGGAAGCTCAGTCCACTGAAGGCGTCTGTCAGTCCCCCCATGTGAGACGAGGCGGAGGGGGCAGGAGGCGAGGCCATATCACCGAAGGAGTTGCCCCGTTGGTGCTGCACGGGTGGTGCCGGCTGCGGCTTCGAGTACAATGACAAAATTGACTGTTTGAGGTCCGGCCGAGACATTCCGGCTGGCGCTGCTGGTGTGGATGCTGTGCTAGGCGGGCGACTGGCGGTAGAAGGCTGGGTGCTACCGAAGAAGTCGAGCCCCAGCAGTGAATCATTGGGTTTGTGATTCTTGACCGGTGCGGGCTGTGCTTGTCTAGGTGGCGCACGCGGAGTAGGTCCGGTTGTACTAGGGCGATTCGGAGGGGAGATATCGTCGCCGAACAGATCAATCGAGGCTTGTTGACGGTGTACCGGGGGCTGACTGGTAGTGGCGACTCTTTGTGAAGCAGAACGTTCAATCTTTGCTTTCTCCTGCACAACCGCAAGAGGCTAGCAAGTCAGTGATTGCTGCTAACTGGCAATTATCCGATCACTTACCACATCGTCATCGCCGTCATCTAGGCTCGAGGGGTCCGGCATCTCACCGTCCATTACCCATCGCTTGCTCTCGTACTTTGTCCGGATGAAGTTCTCGATTTTTCTGCTCGCATTCATTGTCAGAGACCACCACCAAATGAGTGCCATTCGAATGCACTTACGCATCGGAAGGAACGTGGCCGGGTGCCAGTTTCGCTTCCCAGTATCTGCATCCTATTAGCCTATGCGCAACATGGTCGGTCAATTGCTGCGACGAACTTATTGGCTCTTCCATTGCCCCATCTTACAACACTTTGAAGTTGTTCATCGGTCCACGCATCGAGATCCACGGACTTGACTCGGCTGATATGCGTGCCCATACCCCGGTGAATGCCGGAGCACCGAATGCAGACAAAGACACCTAGGTTCCAGGAAGCCCATCGCGGGTCTGTTCAGAAGATAATTCAGTTTATGAGCGCCAAGAAATAGCCCGGAGATGAAGCCAGCGTGGGCGCAACTCCAGGAGGGGATCGGGGGCCACTCACGCTTGTTCCGTTTACAGTCGGCACATATCTTGTTGTGCTCGAGTTTCAGCAGAGCCTTGATAGTCTGCGAGTTTTGGGCAGCTTGCCCTGGAGTAGGACGTCGAGACATAGTAGCAGCAACTCAAGTATCGATGGTTTAAAGGGATAGGGAGACAATGGGAGCGACCTAATTATTCTTAGGTGGCGGTCGGCAAACGGTTGCGGCCTAAGGCTGCAGTGTGTATACGGATGGGGGAAAATGCCAGTCACGCAGTTTGATGTAAAGTAGCATGGGGTCATTGTCCAATAACAGTAGATCTTTGAAGGATTTTTATATTTTGTACATTTCCTTTGGCTTTCACTGCAGAATTCCTTGCAAGTTAAGATCTATAAATGTGGTTGGTCCACTCCAACAACGCCTCTCCCCGTATCATGCATGTCGGCCTTTCTGCAGCCTTAGTCCCCTCCCCGCAAAAACAAATGATGATTGAATGTCATGAAAATTCCTCAAGCTTTCGCCTTAGGATCTTTAGTAGCACTAGCATCTTCCGTAAAGCGCAGACTGACACTATTCACACAATGACGCTCATCTGTGGGGGTCTGATACCCCTCACCCTCAAACACATGGCCGAGGTGACCCCCACAGTTGGTGCATACGATCTCTGTCCGCTTCATACCAAATGTGTTATCAACGTTTCTAGTGACAGCACCAGGGATGGAATCAAAGTATGCAGGCCAGCCACAGCCAGATTTGAACTTGTGATCGGCAGTGTAAAGCGGCGCATCGCAACCAGCGCAATTGTAGATGCCTTTGGACGGGTAGTGGGAATCGTATTCACCGGTACCAGCGCGCTCAGTACCCTTTTCACGGAGAATGCGGAATTGTTCTATAGCCATCCTTGTAAGCAAATATCAATTATATATCGTCTAGGAGGTGAAAAACCTCCATGGTATACAAACCAGGGTTCAAAACAGCTCTCCATTCATCTTCGCTTCTCTGATTGGGGGTGCCATGGCGTCGGTTGTCTGTTCAGGGGTGCGGTTGGAACTGAAGAAGGCACCGAAAAAAGGAATTGCCGGCGCAGCTCTAAGAGCCTTCGTGCTTGCCTTCGAATGGGGAGGCTTGCGCGTTGAGGACAAAAGTCGGGAGGAGCAAAAGGTCGGACTAAGTCGGATAGGAATTGTTTGGTGTCTGAGGGGCGAAATAAGATTTCGAGATAATTGGGATCGCATAGAGACAGAGATTGATAGGAAAATGAGAAAACAACCTTGGAATAAGAGTGACTAACTAGCAACTGAAGCAAGAAGCAAGGATGAAAGTGGGGTGAGGCTAATCCCAGATGGGCACCTGGATTCGGGTTTACGTCATCATGCGGGGAGACTGATACTGTCACGTGCAATGAACAGAGATTAAGTGTTGGAGTCCCTTTGGCGGTGTTGATCCTTGCTGCTGACAATTGTGGATGATCGTACTGATTCCGGGAGCAAAAAGCCAGCTTTAACAATCACCTCTTGCGATTTGCCGAGAATCGATAAAAGAAGAGCACCGCACTTCGAAGTTCTGAAAAACAATGGCCTTGCTCGACTTGGTCTGTTGGCCTTCCAAGGCAAAGCACGGACCCGGTCCATCCAATCGTAGGGGTAAATGGTTCGGTTGTTGTCCATAATAGGGATGCAGTTTGAGATCGAGCCGTCAGATCCCATAGGTATTCCGTACCTATGACTGTTGCGTCCCGAACAGCATTTGGATCTATGGTGCCCTGGAGGGTGTTCATCCGGACTGCGAAGCAGAGTAGGATGCCCATTCCGACACGACTGGATAGCCAGGTGGGCTGACAAGTGTAGGCAGGTTATTATCTATGATTAGGCTAAGGTCATGCCTATAGCCAGCGCGGTATGGAAGGGCGGGATTAGGATTATCAAAGGTGTAGGGGATTGTGCCGATCTAAATAAATAAGTTAGTGTCCTTCGTAGTGAGTAAAGGAAAAAGGTAAGGGGCTTACCCGCTTCTTCTCAGTTGTTAACCAAACTTCTTTGCCAATCGGAGAGTTAGTCTAGGAATTCCGCGTCACTCTAAGTGTATAAGTATCGGACAGAGGCCGTTGACGGACGAATCGTCGAAGGGCGCTTTTAGTCCACAAGATCTAGTCGTAGAACATCGAGACCACACGAGATGGCCGAGGGTTTCTTACAAAGCCAAGGTCACAGTCGTTATAGGCTCTTTGCCGTCGGGCACCCGGAGTCTCAGACCCAAGCAGCTAGACTCTCGGAGGCTTCGGAGTCTTCCATACCAGATATAACAGTTTCGGCACTAACATTCACTCTCGGTACATCATAGGTAGTCCGTAAACTGCCAACGTCCCTAATCCAGTCTGTTTCGTAGATATCTCGGATTTCCGAAAGCGATCTATACAGCATGACCAGGAAGCCCGCCACAAGTACTCGAGCGCCTATAGCGGTTGGGAGAAGCTCGCGAAGGCCGTCGAGCTGTTTAGGAGACAGAAGCTTTCGGGGGTTGATACCTTTTTTAAAGAGGTATTCCTCCTTCAGAGGATACCGTTTAGCTAACGCTCGTCTTGTACTGTTAGTCCCTCGTGACGTTATTGGCTCGACCGAGAGCTCCGCTAAGCCGCGGGAGGTGGGTCTTATCCTCCCTCTAAACTATTACGGGCCGTGGCTTGACCAAAAAAGGCTTAGTACTTTCTGTCAAGAGTTGTCGAGGAATGCCCTGTAAAACAGTCTACCCTATAAAGATTCACCCACCCCTAAACTAGCGGCCAAGAGATCTACCAAATTCTCTTCAGATTCAATTCAGATTTACTTCAGATTCGATTTAGATTCACTTCAGATCCAATTCAGATCCAATTCAGATTCAATTCAGTGACAGTATGTGTCGCTACAGACATGCGACTGAACTCGACGGACTAGCCTCACAAGCTGACCCACATCGTTTCGGCGCTCGGCCGGGGAGAATTGCATCACTGGGCGCTCATTGCGAGCCGGTGGTAGCGCATACGGGTTTAGGTTCAGCCAACTAATATGCACTCCCCAATAGTCTGCAAATAGCTGTCGTGTCGCGGCGGAGAGATCCAGACAATCGGGGTCCGGAAGGGCGTTGCCTGGGATATTGTTTTCTGATACCCAGTATATGCCGTGATTATAGGTCGAACCGCGGCCTTGCCACTCATACCGACTCCAGTCATCGCAGACCTTAAAGTGCGGACGGACGACATCTTGGAAGGCCTTAAGTCGTAGAAGAAACCATTGCGCGACGATATGGGGATTGTCGCGAAGGTTTTCTATAGCGATCCGATTTCGCTATATGGTATCACTAGCCTTCTAGTCTATATAACGCGGTAGATACTGATGTAGTGAATACTACAGTGTGTTGGGAAAAAGCAGGAGAAGAATTCTTGATTGATAAAACTAATCATGCAGGGGTTTATATACCCTGTAGAAACTATCTGAACATTGCTCAATTGTAGCAAACAACAAATAGCAAACAAATCTCAAAAGGCTCAGTCTGCAGCAAACAATCATGCATGCATGCATGGGAGTTCAACAGATACCGTATTAGATCATCCTAGTGGAGGTCCGTAGCGGAAAACGTCACAAAGAGATAGGCGGAGCCTAAGGTCTTTACCATAGCCTCTAGTTCATTACGTTGCCGGGTCCAGAAAGGGCGTGTACCGGGAATCACATTGGCTAGACGGGATGCACTATTGACTAGAGTAAGACTCTCAGCATCATCATTGAAGAACAGGTCCTGGAGTTCCTCCACTGTGATATCTGGCCGATCCGCCTGACGGCGCGCACGTAAAACCCGGCACTCTTTCTTGCTTGCTGGCGCATTATGGTATTGAACGCGACGAACCGGAACCGTGGATGCCGCGCAAATCGGCCAGACTCGTGCTTTATCAGATGTCGGATATAGTCACGATATCCAATGCCATTTTTTTGGGTTTGAAAAGTATTCGTTCATTCAAACCAACCCCAAACTCCGGCAATGCAAGGGTATCTCAACAGTAAATCTGACATATGAAAAAATGAAAAAAATGAAAAAAAGTTAAAAGAAACCCAAAAGAAAGAACAAGGCAGAGAAAATTCAACGGCGGGTTACGCCGGTCACCAACATGGAGCCCCGATTCAGCTCCACACGCCACCCCTCCTTCTGTAGCATATTCCACACGGCGGGTCCAATATGTGATTTGCGGTCTTGGGAGTGGTGACCAACACCGCAAACAATATTGAACCCGCCGTGGGAGCTCTGTCCTCCGCCACGAACGTACTTCTGGTCTCCCAGCCCGTCCCACCACGCCTGGACCCTCTCGCGAGCAATCCTGACGGCATTGGCGACCGTCACGCCATGCAAATCCAGGTCATATTGGGACGACTGGCGGGTCACCAGTCGATCCGACGCTGTCGCCAAATGGCGCATTGCAAGCTGGCGTTGCTCGTTTCCGACTTCCCGGTAGTAGGCGGAGGCGCCGCTGTAGAGAGGGTTTGAGCGGGCGCGGCGGGCGGACTGGGATGCTTGGGCGAGGGCAGCTGAGCGGGCTGCGAAGTGAGAGTTGGCAGCAGCGGCGGCTTGGCTGAAATCCATGAAATCAGAGGCACTCTCTGTCTGCTGAGCCGGGGGTATGTTCTCTTCGTCGTCGAGGGCGACCGGGGATGACACGAAACTGATTATATCTGAAACTGAAGTGAGATCAGGGCGACGGGCCAAGATCTCAGCAAGCTCCTCTGCCGCTGAGATCTCACTGTTTGCAATTCGAATCAGCCCAGTCAGAGTGATCGGATTGATGCCGGGGTACTTGTCACCCAGCTCCCCCACCTGAGTGACGAGTACAGGGTCGTCCTCAATCTCTTGGATGTCCTTGGGTGCATGAGCCTGCGCCAAGACTCTGATTGTTCCACAGAGTGACATCGAATTCTCATGGTAAGTCGACGCGATTTTCTCCCTCTGTAAAGCGCAGGCCCGCGAGGAAAGAAATTCAATATCCTTCTTTCCTGACTCCCATTTATTGGTGGCAGTGTTATTCATGGCCTGGGAGGCCAGGTCGACTCGACGTTGCTTCTGCTTTTTATTCTTTCGGGTCTTCTTGCCGCCGTTCTCATTCTCCTTGGCCTGGAAGCCATCGATCGACTTGGGAATGGAGGACTGACTGTCTTGAGCAACCTCCTCGGGGGTGTGTTGAGGAATTTCTCTGGCGATTTGTGTCTCTTCGATGAAAGCAAGGTTGAGCAAGACATCCATTGAACGACTGAGATTGTCGTGACAATCTTCGAGGATGCGCTCAGCTTCCAGGCGAGTAATAGTCGGGAACATGCTAATCAAGTTCTGTGCCTTATCAGCAGTTGTCATACCCAGAAAGGTGTATCCAAGCTTCGAGCCTTTGAGCCTTTCAGCGTCATAAGTGGCGCTGTTGGGGTCGTCATTACTGTCTTCAGGATGTTCAAGCGATGGCCAGCTAGTAGGACCTGAGGATGCGCCGTCAGGCCATTCGCCAATCGCAGCGCCTGAGACATCAGAGTTTCGGAGGTTGGTTGTACCTGTGGGGTCAAATGGCAAGTCTTCTTGCTCAACAGCAGATGCGTTCAACACGTCCAGGGTCTCGCGCAACTGTTCGACCTGAGTGGGGATCGCCAGGTCAAAGTCTGAGACGATCGCAACAAATAACGCAGGATCAATTGGTGGACAGTAGGTGCTTTCGAGCTCCTGTATGAATAAACAGACATCAGAAAAGAACATGACAGGTAAGCAGTACCGCAAAAAGCTATGCTTAAACTGTGTGTGTGTGTGAATCAGTGGGACACAACATACCTTGAAGAGCTCATTGTCATAATCCCCCATGGCTGTGGTCATGGATTTAGATGCAGTGGTATTGGAGGTATCTGTATCATTCCCTGTAAAGGTCTGCAAGGTTGGACAAGGTTAGACAAGTGCAAGGGACGATCGCGAGAGATGAGGGTGAAAAGTGGCTTTTTTTTCGCGAGATCTTGATAGCTCCGCGATAAGATACGGATAGAGATCAATGCGGGTAAGGATGGGGGAACCAATCACAGAGCTGCGCATTAGTCACGTGAGTGGGGGAGCCAAGGCAGGAAGTGGCACGTGTAATTGGATCACATGCTCAGGGGATGATTCTTAAATGGTGTGTCTAGCCTCATCCCAAATCTGATCAGATAGTAGGATTCGACTGAGGTTGCTTTTTGTATGACATACCGGTATATGGACTTGTTCTATCCAATTCCCCTGAATATACACTTACACTGTATCCCTACATCCCTACATATATCTCTTAAGGCTTGTGATTATGTATGAGTTGTATTAAGAGTACACTCTCTATTAGCTTCTCGGAATGCCTTGATTGATGTGACTATTTGTTCATTCCTGGAACTACTATAAGTAAGTCCAACTAACGTGTTTCCTTCTCTAGAGCCATATTGCGGCCCTAGACTCCTAGGTAAGTAGGAAACCTAGAACAAATCCCATTACTAGCATTTCTAATGTGAATCTGATTTTCTTGTCAACCCTATTATTTCAGCCGAGATAACTTGATTCTAATAGAGCCTGTCAGTGAAGAAACATCAACATAATCACCCGATTTGATAAATTGATATTCCCTACGAAAATGTGGCGAGTAATATGTAGAAAAAAGCTATTGAACCAGTCGGCTAAGAGTCCAAAAGATGAGGAGTTGACACAAGACATCAACGAGTCCGTGATTCATTCTTTGATTCATTCGTGTGGGAATGTTAAAAAAAAAAAAAAAAAAAAAACAATGAAATACAGACAAGGTATAGGATCGCGGTGTACCAAGTACGGGGAGAAGAGGAAAAGGAACCCCCCCAAGACGCTATGCGAAGAGATAAATCAGGGCTTTTGCCCAAACACAACACCCCGGCCCACGCGTTGGGCCGAATATACCGCACTCTATAGTGCTAGATGATACTAAGCCAAAAAAAAAAAAAAGAAAGAAAGAAACGCAGGAATCAAACAAACAGAAAACCCCAGCCTGCCAAAGCTGCATTTCCCCTTCCCTGGTGCTAGATGCCAATGAGTGCGTAATAATACGAGGCCCCTTTGAGAATTGGTACACGGGGAATTATGAAGAAACATTTGAAAGGATATGGGTAATGCATGAAAATGGGAGAACGCGGCTTGATACATGTTCTAGGAACGTCCTGAACCGACAAAAAGCATGGGTATTTCCGTGCGCTGCTAAAAACGAGAAAGCAGAAGTGTGGGAAGAGAAATAGAAATGAAACGAGTGAGGATGCCAGCCCCAGATTCACCACATATCATCGTCATCGTCGTCATCGAGTTGAACGTCGTCGCCAAAGGACGAGTGTCCGTGCTGCTGGTGGCCTGGGCCGTAAGCCTGGCCATTTTCATAGCCCTGCTTTTCGCTCCTCGAATGGCTACCGTAGCGATCATGCGAATCGTCATCATAGTCATACATGGAAGATTCGTCATAGGCACTTTCTCCGTAGTGTTGTTGCTCCTGGGACTGTGCGAGTCTGTTAGTAGTCTTGTTCGCCCTAGGATAAGAAGAATCTTCGCTTACCTGCTGGTATCGCTGATATTGCTGATACTCATCCGGCTGATCCCGTGATTTCGATGATCTCTGGGATGATCCAGACGAAGCAACTGACAACTGCGGGTGCATCTGTTGCACCTTGGCTAGGTATGAGTACATGAAGTTACTCAGCAATACTTGAGAGTACAGTGCTCGCCGGGGATTCGCAAGCTTGATATGCGCCATCCGGTAAATAGCTCGCTCCTCCAAAATCGAGAAGCGTGACCACGGGTAATCGACATCGGCGCGAAGTATTCGTATTGGGGGTTCAGGAGAAAGGTTTCGTGACGAATGCTTTCGGTGGTGGCCTTCACTACTGTGCTTCTTCCGTCCACCACCGAAAATAGAAGAGAAAATGCCATCCTTTTCTTTCTTCGGGTCTCCAGATGCCCTCCTCACGCCGTCTTTGCGTCGTTCTTCCTCGAGTTTCGGATCAGGACGGTCCAAAACGAGGCTTTCGCGTACCCGCGGAGTGCTCTCGATAGATGATTGCAAAACGTCTAGGCGTGTATTGTCATGAGTTTTATCGACGGTCTTTGATTTGGTCTTTTTTGAGTCGTTGTCCTTGTCCTTCTTCTTGTCTTTTTCTTCGCTGCCCAGCAACCAATGCCAACTAGACTTGCGGCTACCATCAGAGTCCTTCTTGTCTTTTGATTTCTTGCTGTCGGGTTTCCGTTCTTCAGGTTTGCGTTCTTCTGGAATAGTAGGAATGAATGAAAGACTGTCGGTGCGGGTACTGTTCCCAGGTATCATCTGAGGGTTATTGGCAAAGTCATTGAGCGAAGGTGCGGGTTCGAGGGCAGGTTGGCGAGGATTCTTGGGACGTTTCGGTGCCGGCTCGTGCGAAGACGTGGGTTTCGGTGACGGTTTAGATGCCGCGGCACGATCCGGTGACCGCCTACTTGGTGAAGGCGGACTTGGTATGCGGCTCGATTCAGTGGCGGGAGGTGTTTCAATTATTGCAGGGATCTTCTGCTCGCCTTGGGCTATGTTCGCGGTCGTTCGGCCATTCGAGCTGATACGAGAATGCCATTTCCGTTCATTGGTCGTATCTCCTGAATCGACATCCGGTCGCCCACCAGAGGTGGACAAGACTTCCTGCTCGACCTCAGGCTGATCGACAATTGAATCGAATGTCGAGCTTGCGGGTGAACTTGGGGCATAAGCCGAGCCATGCGATGAGGCAGAGGGGGCTCGAGCCGCTCGCGTCGGTTTGGGGGAAGGTTCAATGGAGACACCGGCGAGTCCCGAGGTTGTGGGATCTTGGGGTAGAACAACCGCAGGTCCTGTATCACTCCCTGCAGATTCAGATGCCCCCCCGCCCAACTCGTTTAGAGTAGGGCAACTTTTCGCCTTTTTTCAAACTTCCAGCCTTCTTATATTGTGTCCGGGTTGACCGGCGTAGGCTGTTTCCCGGAGGTGCAGGTGGTAGGATCGGCATGTCCTCGTTTTCTGCGAGATCAATCTTCTGCATGCCGCGCATGAGTGATTCTTTGTTCAGCGGGTTCGAATCATCCACCAAGGTTTCCAACTGTTGCAAGTTGGGGCTTAACATGGCATCCCGTCTACTCGATTGAGAGCGTTGACGTTCCAAGCGATCCGCCCCATCTGTATAACCCGACGAATTGTCGATTTGTCTCGACAACATAGAGCGTTTGCGATTGAGCCCACCTCCCGACCCTTGGAGTTCGGAACCTGAAGTCGAATAGTCGCCGGACCTGCGCTTGATATGGTCGGCCTTGGTATCGAGAAACGACTTGAATTCTTTCGGAGCCAGTTCGGGGTGCAGTCGCGCAGGAACCCAGAATAACCGGGAGGCGTCATCTTCGTCGGCCGAGGGCGAGGGGGGTTGTGCGAAGCCTGGGAGGTCAGGATCACCGGCGGCGGCCACATCCATCGACATGCGCCGAATCGCAGCGAGATTGGTCAGTTCCTGAGCAACGGCTGCAGGGTTCGATTCGTAGTCGATATCGTTCAGAGGAAAAGAGGACGTTGCAGTGTCCGAAGGCAATCGAGCACCATCGGCATTGCTCGGATCACTTTCCACCTCAAAGGACCGATGTGTAACAAGCGGCGGACGTTGGTTTCCATTTGTTTGTATCGTTTGCGCATCTGACGAGGATTGATGTAGTGGCGAGGACGGAGATAGAGAGGACTCCGATCTATCGGCGGCGTGCGGGATGGTTGTTATTGACTCGCCCAGGGGCGTAGTTATATAACTCAGGCGTCTCGGATCATTACGATCGTAATCATCGTTGTACATGTGTCCGATAGCTTCCGTCACATGGTGGCTTGGATCACTGATCGATAGATGGGCGGCGTGACCTCTCCGCGTCGCATGCCCGCCTGCCTCGTGGGCACTTGTGGAAGCCTGAACGCGTACGAAATATGATTAGAATCAACAATGCGACAGTTTGAAGTCGAGGTCCTATTCTCAAATTCCATGGGAAGGGGTCCAATTCCATAAGAATGCGGTGGTGCCTGAGGGGTTCGAGGCTGAGGGGAGGGGTTCTCGTCAAAAAAAAAAAAAAAAAAGGCACGCCCACATGAACCAAAGAACAGGAACCGGGGAAAACGACACACCTGCATGGGAAGCCAGTTGTACAGGAACCAGAAGACGTCAAAGACGGAGCCCAAATGGAAGCTTAAGAGGAGGGGACAGTGTCAACCACGTTAGATAGCGAGGAGGAACGGGTCATCGAAGCGGGGAAAGAGGAATGGAGACAAAGAGTCGGTAGCAGTGTGCTAGACATTCGGATACTACCGAGTCCAAATGAGCGTCATAAGGGTGGAAGTTTTGGGAGAAGAAAGGAAGAGAAGAGAAGAATGGAGTTTAGCGGGCGGAGAACAGATGAGGGAGGTGAGAGTTACCATAACCTCCGCAGCACCTGACTTATCTTGAACTCATTCCAAATGAGAGATTCCATTGTGTATTGAAGGGATTTTTGATTTTTCTACAATATCTACATATCTAGTTTTTTTTTTTTTTCTTCTTCTTTTCTTAAATTTAGGGTCTTCTAGGTCTTCTAGGTCTTTTAGGCCTTTTAAATCTTTAATTAGTTGAGACCACACTGTTTGGCTCCACTTAACATTTAAAAATGGGGGATGATGGACGATCGGTTGATCGACATATATACACACGTTCTCTCTTTTTCTTTTCCTTTTCCCTTTTTTCACTCCACTACGTACTTTTCGATTCAAGTGATACATTCTTTTGGTTTGAATTCTAACATCGGACTCCAAATAAGTACGTACTACCTACCTTTCAGAACTGAACTTGCAATATATTTCTTCGATTTGTCACACCACATCCATGTACCTCGAGGGCTGAAAAGATCGCCTCAGTACATTCGTTTTTGACAAAGGCTGAAAGAGTTGGATTGAAATAGGAAAGGTTGAAAGGACACATAACAAATGTAACTTTACCATTGCAAAAGCCACTTGGCATCCTTCTACTAAATGGATGGAGTAGATGGGGTCGGACCTGAGATTCTATACGCCGTGTGACTTTATCCAACCTTCCCCGGGGACCGAAGACAATAGCTGGATATGCCATGCAAGTGTTCGCACAAGTCAATAGCACGAGAAGGTCCAGCCCGGAATGTAAAGGATTTCAACCAGTGAGAGACCAGAGTACATGGGATTATTATATTCAATGGTTGGAACCATATCAACTCACAAGTGTAGATGAACCCGACAGGTGTATTCAACTTAAGAGACTGAGAAGTGACTTATGAGACTTGGATGGAATAAACTGGAGAAACTCTGGAGAAGCCCTAGGAAATCACAATCAGATGGGAAATACTCTGCATAAAACCAAAAAGACCCAAGATGTAGTATCCCCGAGTTCCGCCCCGAACGAAGAAGAAAAGCATGAGAACGAAAAACTCCACGCTGAAGAATGTAAGTGGCACCAAATTTAACGTGAATCAAAGAATGAAAAAAAAAGTTGTTGACGAATCCGTACACGCCAGGATATATGTAAGGCAAAGAGTTGGGGGGACGTATGTTCATCAAGTCCCGGAGAAATGTGCATCAAGAGTTCATCACAGTGTGTGTGCTACATGGACCAGAATTGGACGCGCATCAATCTAAGATGCATCAACATAGTTGCTGCGAATGAATTAGCCGCCAATTCTAGCAAGTGGAAGGAAACAAGTTCTTACCTGGGGAAGATGCCCACACGATCACCAATGCGACCAGTCCACCAGTCTTCTGCCTTCTCCGTCCGCTTCAGTATGGTAATAATTTCACCCTTCTTGAATCCAAGATCACCTTCCTGATCCGCATCGAATGTGAAAAGGGCAACGGCTTGGTCTGATCGCAATTGGGCTGCACCAGTCTTTTGTTGGAAGACTGGCTTAGGTGCAGTTGGACGCGTAGGTCTGCGATCTGAATAGACATATTCCTCTTCGAATGGTGCAGTGTTGCTCCGGTTGCGCCCATAGCTATCATATGAATCGCCAGCAGGGGCTCGGGTGGTCGTGGAACGACCAAGCCCCGAGGCAGGCCGATCATAAACATCATCAGCCCAGGTGTTCGCACGGCGCGGCTTATCGCGGTAGTCGTAATCATTTTCGGTGTTGGATCGACCACGCTGGCTATTTTGACCGTAGGCATCGCCCTTGCGTCCCTCCCAGACCACATCGTCATGGCTGTCGTCATAGACAGGAATATCATTGTACATGGAGTCACCATAGGCCCGCGCATTTCCTTGGAATGCACGGGAGGTCAGAACACGCATCAGAGCATCGGCAGCCGGTGGGGGGCGAATGGTGCCTGTGAGAAGTTGGTTCGCGGTGACACGACTGCGGTACAATTTCTCGTTCGCATCCTTGCGTTCCACCAGCATACTACCTTCGAGACTGACACCGGCGAAAAGACCCTTGGTTTTTGAGTAGGAGAAGACGGCAGCAACGCCCTTGGTACTGGCTGCGCCAGCGGCCTCGGCATTTCGGCCAATCGGTCCAGCAGCGAGTGATACATTGCCACCCAGGGTCAGTGTTCCCACTTGCGAGAATGTGCGAACAGCAGCGGCATCGTTGAGAATGAAGACAAAGTCGGTCAACTCAAACCCAATCTGTCCTCCGATTCCGGCACCTGCAGTCGCAATAGCCGATGGAGCCGACCAGGACCCATCGGCAAGACGAGCGACAACGATACCGGAGCCAAATCGACCGGAGCCTAGGAAGCCGGCCTTCAGAACCGTGAGAACCGCAAGACCCTGAGGGAAAACGTCTGTTAGTCATGGATGTTCCTAACCGGGGCATATGTTGAGTGTCTTACCTTTGCATTGGCCAAAATCTCTGGGGGAATGACCTTGTCGGGACCGAATGACTGCCTAGGGTCAACGAAGGATGTCAAGATCTTTGCAGCTTTTTTGCATTCGCCTGTTAAGAGAGAATCCACTGTCAGCCGGATGTGCCGCACACGACTGCGGGGAAGTGGGCTTTTGGGTATTGATGAAACCTACTGCTCATAGACGCCGGCAGCGGATTGTTGATGCCGAAACCCATCTTGGCTGGTAACTATCGGGGTAGAACGAATGCAAAGTTGAGGGTGTGAGGAATGGGGGGAAAATGAGGAGCTGTTGATGTCTCGAGGGTAGCGGTTAGTCAGTGAGTGTGGGCCCGGAGCCCAGCTGACGGCTAAAGCGGGACGCCAGTTCGTGGGAGGCTCAAGCAGAATGAGATTGGGTGATTACTACCTAAGTAAGTACAATACAATGTTGGAGATATTCTCAAGGAAATAGAAAGTCAATTGGAGATCCAATACCCTCAGTGATTACTAGCCCTTGATATCCCATGTATTTCGACAATTACCTAGGTAGTTATGGGGGTCTCTTGGCTCGGGGGTTTAAAAGTGGACGAGCAAGACGAATGTTACTTGGCAAATTGGATTTTTTCTTTTCCTTTTTCTTCTTCGATTAAGTATTAAATATAAGAAGATCGAGAACAAAGGGAATACAGCCAAAGCAACAATTCCCCGATGTGTAGAGAAATTGTATACAACATACCCATTGTATAACATCTTTCACTAATTAGTTACATAACTATGTAGTTATCGAGTAATCCTCCAAAATCAACCCATTAAATTCAATCCAGTAAAATACATCATCGTTCTAGATAGCTATGGATTTTACGCCCTGGATTCTTATACCTCGACATTGGATATGTTGTTTGTGTTGGTCTATTCCCACATGATTTAAGATAATGTACCTGGACGTGAAAACAGGGACTATTAAGATAGTAGAGTACCTAGGTAGGTTTGTTTATCTTATTACTGCTGAACCAAGTATCAAGGCCAGCTCCTAGATGAAAAAAAAAAAAGAAAAGAAAAAAGAGGAAAAGCCAGATGCTTATACTAGCTTATAAAACCATCGTGCATAAAAACCGAGGCCACCGTCTGAGCCCAATCATAGCACACTTTCATCCAGCCCACATCTTCCAGCATGCAGCCCTGCACTGGTTCGAAATCATTATCCTGCGGCAGACTGGTATAACCTTCTAATTCCTCTTCACCCAGGAATCGCGGCTCCCACCTATTATTAACCAGAACTACAAAGCCGGTGTTATTATAACCCTCGACATCTTCACGTGGAATGTCCAGAACTGACTGCAATGCCTCCTCATCAACCATGATACGGAATTTATACCGTGCCGTATTCGCCCACTGGTTGAAATAATCACGCTCTATTATTGAATAGATGGAGTCACCATAAAACCGCGTCTTGTCATTCATCACCGTAGGCACGAATGAATCGAGTATATCGAGGCCATCGTAATACTCCAGCGTTTCCCTCACATAATAGAGAAAGCGATGTATGAACTCATTCTAGTCAAAGTCGCTCTTGTAAGTGCATCTGTAGACGAACGAGGCCCCATGTCCGGAAGCCGTCGTCGAGCATGTACTTTTCGATGACATCGGCTTCATTATGGTTGAAGGAAATGGATGGAGAACGTTTAGAGTCGATCACCCTGGCTGGTGATGAAGATAATAGCGAAATAGCAAGGAATTGAAGTATTTGCCTCTTCAAGCATGCCCGTGGTCTGGTTTTGTGAAGTGATGGGCGGTGGAGATGAGCCGTCGCGTAGAGAATGAGACCGTTATTGACCGGTTTCAGCTGGAGGTGCTTTCTAATTGACAAATCCAACTTTTGAGGAGGCTTCTGGCTCCCCCAGTTAAGAATGTCATGTTGACACTCCCGCAATGAGTTTCACAGTTCATGTGGGGGTTGGTTGGAGATACAGGAACCGGGGGAGAGAGCAGGAATTCAGAACAGGTTTTAGACGCCATCGCGCCAACCGGGTTTTTGCGAGGCAGAAAGTTAATAATAAATTAATAATTCATACATGTGTACCCTTGCGAATTTCACTCGTACCAAGATCATATCTACATATGTAGAGAAGGAGAGTAAGTCATAAAACCTGCCGTATCTAGGCGCCAAGACACCTGTTATCGTATTCACGATTGTCTCCGGAATCAACCTCGGAGCCTTGGAACCATCTCCATACACTTCTTGCAAGGTCATGTTTGGGCTATGACCATTACGTGACTCGCTAAACGCCAAAATGGCATCGGGTATGTTATATATACCTCACTTCCAGCAACATTGCTGATAGGTCCAGTCCGCATTTGCGTTTGCGGCGACGAGGGCACCGGCAAGTCCAGTCTCATCACGTCGCTCGTCAAAGGTGTGTTTGTGACGAACAAAATCCAACCAGTCCTCCCCCAAATTACCATCCCTCCCACCCTCGGGACCCCCGAAAATGTTACAACCACGACCGTCGTCGACACCTCGGCCCTTCCCCAAGAACGGAACAATCTCGCGCGAGAGATACGGAAATGTAACGTGATTCTCCTCGTGTATTCCGATCACTACAGCTATGAACGGGTAGCTCTGTTCTGGCTGCCATACTTCCGCTCGTTGGGTGTCAATGTCCCGGTAGTCCTGTGTGCCAACAAGTCCGACCTGGCCACGGGTCATAGTGAGACCCGAGTGGTTGAGGAGGAGATGCTTCCTTTGATGGCAGAGTTCAAGGAAATTGACTCATGCATACGTACGAGTGCTCGGGAGCATCGTAATGTCAACGAAGCTTTCTTCGTTTGCCAAAAGGCTGTCACGCACCCGATCGCGCCACTGTTCGATTCCAAGGAGGCCGCCTTGAAGCCCGCTGCGGTAGCAGCCTTACAAAGGATATTCTATCTCTGCGACAAAGATCGCGATGGATATCTATCAGACAAAGAGCTCAAGGATTTCCAAATCCGGTGCTTTTCCAAACCATTGAACGACGCGGATCTCAATCACATCAAGGAAACCATTCAAAAAGCCCATCCGGACTCGGTTACGGACTCGGGCATTGACTGCCAAGGGTTTATTCATCTGAACAAATTATACTCGGAGAAAGGGCGACATGAAACAGTCTGGATCATCTTGCGAGCGTTCCAGTACACGGATAATCTCTCACTGCAGGAGAAATTCTTACACCCGAAGTTTGAAGTACCGCCGTTCGCTTCTGCCGAACTGTCACCCGAAGGCTATCGATTTTTTGTCAACCTCTTTCTTCTATCCGACAAGGATAATGACGGGGGCTTGAATGAGGCTGAACTCGCGTCCTTGTTTGCCCCTACCCCGGGCTTGCCCGCATCATGGGCCGACGGCTCGTTCCCATCCTCCACAGTCCGCAATGAGGCAGGACATGTAACACTCCAAGGCTGGCTTGCTCAGTGGAGCATGACTACCTTCCTCTCTCCCAAAACTACGCTCGAATACTTGGCATATCTGGGCTTTGAGCCCTCCGACCAAAGCGATCAATCTATTACCGCGGCATTGAAAGTCACACGGCCACGAAGAAAACGTCGCCGCCCAGGCCGTGTGGGACGAAATGTTGTCCAATGCCATGTGTTGGGGGCCCCTGGATCCGGGAAATCGGCCCTGCTCGATGCACTTCTTTCCCGCGGATTCAGCACGACCTACCACCCAACCATCCAACCACGTACTGCAGTGAACACGGTGGAGCTTCCGGGCGGCAAACAGTGCTACCTTATTTTGGATGAACTAGGTGAGCTGGAACCTGCTTTGCTGGAGAACCAGTCCAAACTACTGGATCAGTGCGACGTGATTGCGTACACGTATGATTCCTCGGACCCAGACTCATTTTCCTACATTCCTGCATTGTTGGCAAAATATCCTCATCTGGAGGAGCTTCCCAGTGTATTCATTGCTCTCAAGGCCGACCTGGATCGGACGACACAGCGAGCCGAGCACCAGCCTCATGAATACACAGCTATGCTGAACATGCCGAGTCCGCCGCTCCATGTGAGTGTTACGTGGAGTTCTATCCAGGAGGTATTTGTCCATATTGCCGAGGCTGCCATGGAGCCCAGCACAGCATTTCCGCGTAGTGAAGAGGATGTGGAAGGCAAATGGATGTCATGGGGAATTGCCCTTGGAGCAGTGGTTTGTGCAGGCGCCGCGGCTGTGATGATCTGGCGACGAGTTGGGAGCGGCAATTAGGGTCTTCGTTCATGTTCTATACCATACCCCATAGTTTAATGTGCAAATAAATGTAAAATGATCTAAATATCTTCGTCTTAATCGATCATGATACTTAGGCAGACACGGCACATAACCGGCTGAGCCGGAGTTAAGCCGGTCCCCGCCAGGCACGCGGTGTCTTCTCCGCTCGAACGTTACCCCGGACATCGTTTCCCTTGCTGATCCCCCCTCTCGCGCCTCGACTTGTACTTTCGACCTCTCCAACCTCCGAACCTCGAACCCTGATATCCTTATACATATCGTATCGAGTACATATATACATCTGCGATTTTCGGCCCTTATTGTGCACGTTGACTGGCTGTCGCCCCCTCCGGCCATATCTCTGCAACTTGTCCATCGCTCATTCTGAACACATTAGAGCTTGCACATATCGATATATAAGACTGAAGGAGGAAACGTTGGATAAAGTGCATCGCAGACTTGGCAAAGTTTGCGCGTTTACCTTATTTGATCCAAGGTTGCGCTGGTGGTCACACCCATATATCAGACCAAATCCAAATTGATTCTGTGCGAGTGACGTCTAATCATGTTGTAAGCACGCTCTCTCTCCAAGGCTTTTACTTTCTCACTCGCATCAATCCCATGCTTTCAATCTGCAAGCCTCACCTCGTGTTTTCACTCCAACCAACATAATTTGAGAGAATTGCATAACTCTTCCCGGATAATCAATTCACTTGCTTACACCACTAGCAGCGTCCTTCCCCCTCCCCCTCCACGTTATACCATCCCTGTCGCATATGCGGCGGGGGCCGCAAATGGTATGGCGGTGCCTGTTGTGGAAACGAACAATACGATTACCCGCCCGGAGCGTGGGTGTCCATTACAAGTTGGCGAGGGTATGTGTGCTCACCGATCGCTGATCACCCTAACTATCCCAGTTCCTTCAGCATTTCAAAGATAGCTTACATTTTATATTTTTGACAGGAACGTACATCCTCCAGGATGACCTACTCCTCGCAACACCGCCTCCCCACCCATCTGAAGCACCTATCATTAATCCGAACCCTCTCGCGACACTACCCACACCCCCTACCACTGGCGTAAAGCTATCTCTTGTTACACTCGACCCTCGAAAGAAGCCTCCGACTTTCTTGAAGTCGGGTGTTACAGCTCCCCAGTTTGGAGATGGAAACCCCGCGCTTGCGGCGCCACCGGTGGCAGCGAAGGACGCATCGAAGCGAAGGAAGCCCAAGAACAACATTATCAAGAGCAGTTCTTCCTTTGTTTCGCGAGTCATCACCCATGAGACATCTGCTAAGCGTTTGGGTGACCGTGACGCGAACGGTGTGTTTGCCTTTGCGAATATCAACCGAGCATTCCAATGGCTTGACCTCAGTTCCCCCACGAAAGAGGAGCATCTTACCAAAGTCCTATTCACCAAGGCCCACATGCTCTGTCACGACATCAACGAACTCACCAAGACATCATCACATCTGGACATTGTGATGGGATCTTCTGCGGGCGATATTATTTGGTATGAGCCCATGTCGCAGAAGTATGCTCGGATCAACAAGAATGGAGTGATCAACAGCTCCCCCGTCACCCATATAAAATGGCTTCCTGGATCTGAGAACCTGTTCATAGCGTCCCACGCTAACGGTGTGCTGGTCGTGTACGACAAGGAGAAGGAGGATGCTCTTTTCACCCCCGAGGTGAACGGCCATTCCGAACAAGAGGTTGGACGGTTACCATTGGACATCCTTAAGTCTGTGAACTCCAAGAACCAGAAGACCAACCCGGTCTCATTTTGGAAAATGGCAAATCAGAAAATCTCGAGCTTCTCCTTTTCGCCAGATCAAAGGCATCTGGCTGTGGTTCTTGAAGATGGGTCGCTACGGCTTATGGATTACTTGAAAGAGGAGTATGTTTGTCCCTATGTTAAGAGAACAGAACGATCCCCAGCTAACGCGTTATAGGGTACTGGATATATTCCGCAGCTACTATGGCGGCCTGATCTGTGTCTGCTGGTCACCGGATGGCAAATACATCGTAACCGGAGGCCAGGATGATTTACTGACTATTTGGTCTTTCCCCGAGCGCAAGGTTGTTGCCAGGTGCCAGGGACATAATTCTTGGGTCTCGTCGGTAGCATTCGACCCTTGGCGTTGTGACCAGAAGACATACCGGTTTGGAAGTGTCGGCGATGACTGCCGCCTGCTCTTGTGGGATTTCAGCGTTGGCATGCTCCATCGCCCCCGGGCACACCAAGCCTCGACCCGGAATCGATCCAGCATAGTAGTGCCAAACTCACAATCTGCCAATCGCCACCGTGCAGACAGCGGCGACAACCGTGTGCGTTCGGACTCTAATCAAACCGATAAGTTCAACGAAGATATCTATCAGACGAGTCACCCTGTCGAGCCACGGTCTCGAACTGCTCTTCTGCCCCCGATCATGGTAAGCATTGATTGACATTGATTGACGTCCACATTGCAAGTTCAAAAAGATTAACTGAACCATAGTCCAAAATCGTTGGCGAAGATCCTACCTGCTGGCTTGGCTTCCAGCAAGATTGCATTATGACTTCCTCTCTTGAAGGTATGTTTAATCAGGTTGTTTGTAACCGAAGTCAAGTAAGACTGACATTCTCACACAGGCCATATCCGTACTTGGGATCGACCCAGCGACAGCGTCGTGAAATCATGATGCTGCATTCGCGGTTTACAATCCACTTTCCTACTACAGGATGACTCGATACCCAGTACTAAATGTATGGTGTAATCGAAGTGGATTCAATAATCTTGGAACCCTGGAGGTTACCAATCGGGGGTTCGGTTTTCTTTTTAGCGTGGCTCTTTTTTTCTCTCACACCTATGATATCTTTTCATGTCCATACTACCTTTACCTATCCATAAATATTCATTATGCGTAAGGTCTATTATTTGTGTCCTTCTAAAAACCAGGAGGCCGCAAAACCGACCAAAAAGACCGCACTCGAGGATTTCAGCTTTGCCTACCGACGAAGTGAACTTCTAAGCTACACCTTTGTCTTCCCCTCCTCTATTTGGAAACATTATTTAATATGAGCAGGGCAACAGCCAACTCAAAGACTCATTTAACAGTATAGATCCAAAAGTATAAAACAGACATAGCATTATCGCATTTCATTAATGTAAGGGGCATATCGTAGGTCCATAGACCAAATCATCAACATCAACATCAACATCATCAAGCAAATAAATCATCACTAGTAAAATAACCCTCCCCTTCCACAATTCCTTCAACAGATAGTAGACTTTGTCCAAAAGAACTACCACAAAACAATCAAACCCATCTCCAACTCATATATCTAAGTTTCCGGATTTCCAGCCAGCCAATTGCCTAGGGCCGGATCACGAATGACCGATATCGACAATTTAAAGGACCAAAGCAAACAGACCTAGAAGCAGACTACCGGCAGGGGGCATGATGACAGCAGCAGCGTTAGAGGTGGTACTAGCCGACTCGGTAGCAGTGGAGGTTGTGGTGGAAGTATTCTTGCGAGTGGTGGTGGAAGTAGTGCTCGAATGGGTTGCGGTGGACAGGCTAGTTGAGGACAAGGCTGAAACTGAGGTCGAGACTATAGATAGTGTCAGTGAGTGTCTCTATCATGGCGTGGGTGAAGGGCAAAATGCTATCTCGGAAGCTGTGCTTTCTGTCTTTTACTGACCAGGGGTAGTAGTGGAGATGTGGGTAGAATGGGATGTAGTAGAAGAAAGAGTGCTTGATGTGAGGAATGTCGAGGTAGGGAGATGTGTGGGAGACGTGGTAATGGAAGTAGACGTGGTTGGGGTAGCAGAGGAGGAGGAGGAGGAGGAGGAGGAGGAGGAGGAGGAGGAGGATATAATCGAGGATGAAAGAATTGTAATGAAAGAAGAAGTTGAAGGTGTAGATGTGGAGGATATAGAGGAAATTTCAAGTGCGGATATAGAAGAGACTGAAAAAGAAGAGGGAGTGGTAAGCGTTAAGGTAGAAGTGTAAGAAGCTGTGAATATCAAAGATGAGGATGTCTCGGGAATGGAAGTAGAAAAAGATAGAATGAAATCGGTAGACGCACTTGCAGAAGAGCTTATCAAAGAAGACGTTGTAGGGGTAGGAATAGAAGATGAAGCAGTAGAGTAATACGAGGTAGGGGTAGAGACGCTGATGGAGGAGTGAGTAGCAGTCGAAGACAAGTAAGAGGAAGCAGTCGAGGAAAGAGCCGAAGTGACATCACTTGTCGACGAAGAAATCAACGAAGTTTCCAGCGCAGTACTGGCTTCCTTACCAGAGCTACTAGCACTAGCCTCACTAGCAATTTCACCTGGTTCAGTGACTCGGAATTGCTGAGACTGGGCCAGAATGCCATTTTGCGGAGAGAGGAAGTTGATCTGATATCCCTTTCTATATTGAGAGTATTAGATCAGTAACTCAAAGACAATGTAATCAAATTGAACCTACCCATTGTCGACATCCGTAAAGGTCTTTGCTTTAACGGTGTAGGAGCCTTTGGAAGAGTCTATGTCATCTGCCACAATGGTTGTTGTCGGAGGGTAGACATTCTGATTGACTAGTTCGATGCTGAAGGTCTCCGGGTCTGTTCTATTGATATTACATTTCTATTAGCAGATGAATTGCTGAGAATATCGGACAACTAGTAGCCTTACGTGACGGCCTGCCACTTGATAGTAAGGGGCATATCCGGGTCAATCTTTTCACCAATCCGTGGGGAGGTGACAGTGAGACCTGATTTAACAGTTAGATTGATTTTATATTCCCCATAGGTAGAATTCCCATACCTGCAACTGTAGTAGCCAGAGCCACCAAAGAGATAATGTTAACCCGCATATTGATTGGTCTCTGTGATAACCAATATCAAGTGAAGTAATTCGAGGAAATAGTTGTCAGTCTTGGAAGGTCAGGCCACAATATAATATTCCTGTGGTTGGAGGGAATCAAAGCCAGGGGCGACATAAGATGGGAATATGATACTTTATAGTCTCTTTGATAATCACAGGAGGCTGTATCTCTCACAGGGTCTTCTCAAATTTCAATGGCAATTTTTATTTTTGGGCTAATTTGCCGTGGTGCCTTGATCCATCACGCCTCGTGCTCCCAGGTCTATGTCGGAGTACAAAATAGTTTGGTGAGGACCACCTTCTCTTGCCCCCGTGATGTAATTTTACTACTGTGTTGCAGTTAAGGTGATCTAGAGGAGGAATTGTTGATTCTGTAGCTTGCAACTTCATTTTCGGCCCAGATGGGAATCATCTTTCGTCGATTCGATCCATGATGTACAACGTCTCTGATTTTGACTGGCCGCGCGTCATAGTTCCTGTCCGTATTGCAATGAAAAGATTTTATAATACATTTCCTGTTCATATACTCAGTGCAGTCATAGTCATTGGCTAGGGCACGAGACCCCTGGGATGACTGCTGCGGCCCGTTTGGTTTCGATGCCGAGTGGCAGGGATTCATGAGATGATTAATTCTTTTGGGGCATCTTGATTCCCGAGAATGAATTGAGTGGTGCTGTAGCTATATGGAGACAACCTGGAGATCGCATGTATATCAAATATCTTATATTAATCCAGCTTATGTCGAACTATATATATCCGCATAACTATACCTAAACACATACCACAAGCTTGTTCGAATTCACTAATTCATGATAATTGACTCCTATTACACTCGATAACTTATTAGTGGGGCAATCTCTCCGAAAGGTCTAAGCACACCGGAAGTATTGGGGGTTGTGTACTCTTGGTCGTTATGAGCTCAAGTAGGACAAAGCCAAGGGAAGAAGTGTTTCACATTTTCAACCAGCTCCCGGTCCTTACGCGAGAATCAGACGGGGATAGTAAACAATTACCTTTCCATTCAGTTTTGATTTACTAGCCCAAAGGCAATTTTGTCTTTAGAGAGGCTCTGAGATTTCAAAATGGTTGCCTACAAGGGGGTTTTGGAGTACATCAGGAGTTGCACGAAGCATGAACACAAGGTCGGAACAGCACTCATTGGACGATTCTTGGGAGAGATTAAAATAGTACAAATGGTACCCAGGTTACTTATCGGGAAGATTTTTGTCTTGACTGTCGTAATAAAAGGTCCCCGTTCGGTCTCAAGCATCTGTTTGTCCCCTCCGACACTTCCACTGTCAGGCCAAGCTGCGTTTGGCTTCGCAGTGCATCTCGTCTAACCTATTGATCTCAATAGTCTCTGTTTTCATGTTCTGGAGTTGAGAGTCGTCGTCAGCATTCTACGAAACACCAAATATGACGTGGAGTGTGTACAACAGTCTACCTTATAAAGATGAATACCCACCTCCACTCATTTTTACTAGGTCACAATTAGCGTAGCATTTTATATAGTATTTTCGCAGCAATCACTACCTAGCACCTCAATAGCATACTATCAATCAGATCAGATAGGAATTCCTCCGGTATAGTATCCTAGTCCTCCTAGACCATACCACGAAGCTTCGATAAAGGAAAGTGCTAATCCCCATACTTGAAAGAAATCAAGTGCCTCTTTGGTAGCATGCCTAGGAGTATTATCGTATATAACAATCGGATCTTACTCCCTTCTTAGACGGAAGAAGCCTTCTATCACAATACGTATAATATAGGATTTACTGTATTGGTATAGGGACTTTTAAAGTGAATTGAATTTAGATTGAATCTGAATTGGGGCCAGGCTGGTTCTGCGATTCGAGCAGAGCGGCGGATAGCAACAGAATCGGACTGAAGGCCTGTTGTCTTGCGATCCGTTGCCATGTTGCGCTGCGACTGCATTACCAGCTGGAAGGCACCCATTTTCCGATCAGTGTACTTCTTTTCGGATAATTTGAGATGGTCGAGGTGTGCATCGAACTCGGGAAGTCGGCTATCACCTTGTCAATACGGGGTTTTATCGTCTTGCGGGGTTTGGGGGACTTGTTGGCCTTCTTTGATTCTGGCCAAAGTACTATTAGGCAGAGAAACTGGAGTTCCGTCGTCTTCGAAGTCGAGTCAAACCTTTTTAAGCTGGCTCATCGGGACATCCGAGACTAGTAACGTGGTTGTACATCTTTCTTATTCTTTGAGGGTCTTGGGAATACTGCTCTTCAAAGATATGTTGGACGATAATATAATAAAATGAAGAAAATGAATGCTTAGATTTCGAAATAAGTAGAGTTATAGACGAGAGTAAAATATGACTCTAGGGCTATTAACATGTTTGGGCAAGTCTGTAAGCTTTCCTTTAGGAATTTTAAGGTAATCTGAATTGAATTCAAAACTATAGCTATATGTGTTCAATACAATATGCTAACTTCAAGTAGCAAGAAAATTGGCATATCTCTTGGCCGTTAGTTTAGGGGTGGGTGAATCTTTATAGGGTAGACTGTTGTAAGGAAATCTAAATGAGAAATTGAGTATACCATGGTAGGTTATTCGTCTACGAATGGAATATGAATCATCAGGATTTCCATTTTAAACTGTGACTAGATGCAGAAGTAAGCCTGCATACACTAGAGATTCAGACATCATTTCCAGCATTTCCAGCACTGTATTGATCACCTGTCACTTTTAGGTGACACGTAGAAGTCCACTGTTTAGATCGTTCAACCCATAGCGGGGAATTTTCATGTATGACGAATGCACATTGTATTTCCACTTCAACCTCGGGAACACCTTAACGCTGCAGCATGCTGCGACCTCCGTCAACAGTGATCCTATTCCGCACTCGAATGTGCGCGTAGGACGTTCCGAGTTGAACCACACGATTCGAAGTAGGCTCATCTTGGGAGTCCGAGTCGGTTGTCGCGCTGTCCGTGGAGGACGGTTCATCTGGAGCATTTGACCAACTGGAAGAGGTGGCACTTGAGGAATCCTCATCCTCCTGGTCGTTGTGCTTCGCAATGTCCAACAGGGCTGTTGGACAAAATACCAAAGCCTCTCCAGTTGGCAGACGAACAATTTTCTGAAAGATTGCCGACGTCGTTGTGCTGTCTTTCTCAATAATCCCAGCTCCCGCGATGTGTGATCTGATTGCCCTGAACCAGGCTGGCGAAGAGAAGCGGTGGATTATTGTAACGTTGCAAAGCTCAAGCAGTGCCGGTGCAAGAGTTGGTTCCTGTGTTGCGATCAGCACTCGGGCGGCCAGATGTCGCTGCTGGCGGACGACAGATAGCAGCGTCTCTGTCAGATCGGCGGCTTCGAGCGAAGTGGAAGTCATGAACTATAATCAAATCAATTGTCAGTACGGGAAACATAAATAGCTCAAGAAATTGGAGGTCCATGCACCTTATGGGCCTCATCCAGAGCAATGATCCGACCCGTATCGCGGCGGTTTTTCAAAAACAGAGAAACACAGATATTGAAAAGGGCGCACGCATCTTCTTGACCAACGAACGGGCAGCTCAAATCAATGATAGTCAAAGTGCCGGAAGGAAACTTCCAGATATTATCGGCAACATGTTGCTTTGACGTATCGGGACGTGCACCAAGCACAGATCCAGGCTCGAAAAACGACTCAAGAACCTCCAAGCGCATGTTAAGAGGCATAAGCTGGCCTTTAACGAACTGTTCGCGCTGGAGAATATGTTTGAAGGCGCTGTAGTTGAAGCTGGATTTGCCTTGGTTGGCTATGGCCATGTCGCGAAGAATCTTCATAACGACCTATGTGAGTAGTTTATTAGTACATTGTCAACGCAAATGACAGGTGTGTTGGCTTACCTCGATGTAGAGAGGCTGCTCAGCCCTGCTGCCAATGCCCATCAGGGTCTTCATCATGCTAATATTGAGGTCCTTCTGGGGCAGATACAATGGCTGAACCTTCAGCATTTTGGAACCGCCCGCCAGTCTTTCGTATGCCTTTTTCATGGCAAGGTAATTGGTTGGGGACACCAAGACTCTGACCGGAATGCCCGAGGAATGAAGATAGGCCGCCTCGCACAGCTGTGTGCTGGAAAAGGCCGTGAACTTATCATAGTGAATGACAAGTCCAGCCAGAGGCGACGACAGATTCCCAGCAGGCGAGGATGCAATCAGTGCATTCTCCAACAGGCAGGACAGGGTGTGACTCTTGCCACTTCCTTGACTGCCGCAGATGAAGGCAGACCACGGGGCTGCCACGTTGGCGTAGACGAGATCCTCTTGTGTCAGTGCGTTGCTTGAGGAACGAATACGCATACCAAGCAGTCCATATTGTGAAAACACTTGCTCTCCATTGAGCGGCTGCTCACTATCCAAACGGCTGGTGTCCAGAGTCTCACAGGCAGAGAGGGAGAATAGAGGCGACGTGATGAGCTCCTCATCCAAGTGGGGGTTTTCGCTTCTCGATGCTCTGGAAGCATCAGTAGAATCATCAATGTCACGTTTGACAAGATTCATGTGCTCCTCTGTCTCCTCTGTGTTTCTATGAAGATGATGGAATGCCATAATGTCAAGTCGCCACGTATGGGGCTCCTTAAGGAATGAGGGAGTGTGTGGTAGAGGGGCGAGGGTTGAGGGAAATTAGAGAGAAGAGAAAAAAAGAAATTGAATCAGCTTTATTGTAGTTTGTGGACAAAGCATCGCGATCAGGTGTTCAGGCATCCAGACAATCCGGGGTCAAACATCCATAATGTATCTAGATCTTTCTATGGGCAAACATTTGAACATTCTTTTAAAATGTCATTTCATGATCGCAGTATCATGAATCTAAATAGTAAGCTCAAATATTAAGTCAACCAATCTTTGTAATACTATACTACTATAGTGATATATAAATATAACGTGTAGAAATTGTTACCCCTCTGGGAGACAAGTCACCATGAAGGTATAAACTGGAAATCTCCTTTTGTATCTACCCCCACCAGGTCGCCAGTTGGTGGTAATTACCAGTAATTTCTAGGGGTTACCATGAGCTAGTGAGCTGGTGAGAAGCTCACTAGGTCAAGAAAAAAAGTATCACTCTAAAATTTACTAGTTCCTACTAGTAGCGTGGTCATTACTAGGAGATTTTAGATGTCGCCACTAGGAAAACACTCCGTCATGACCTGGTGACCTGGCCAGCAAAAAGCCGCCCACGATACTTTAAGCAGATATTTCACCTCAGAATGTCCTAATGCAACTCAAGTATGATAGCAGCCTCAAGGAAATTGAGGACCTAGAGATCCTAGTGTCCCTATAATTACGACTCGTCTCGACGAAGGTGGAGCGTTTAGGGCAGTCCTTGCTGATTTCGGCCAAATACGACTAGCAGAAGGGCAAAACATCCAGGATTGGTAGATGTCTGATTTATACGGAGCCCCTAAGGTCCTCTTAGGCTTATCTTGGAAATATGTTGTTGATGTGTGGTCTATCGGTGTCATTGCAAGTATAAACATACACTCTGTAATAACCTGTCTAACCCAAGTTCAAATTACTAGACACTTGAGCTCATGAAGAGAAGAACCTATTCAACCCCATTGATCGTGTTGACAACCAGTATGTTCTTCCGTTGGCACTGGCCCAGTACGTTGGATATCTGGGTCCCCCATCACTGGGAATGATTCGCAAAAGCCCACTCTTCGCAACCTATTTTGATGAACAGGGTAAGTATAGCTTTATATCTTGGACTTAAGGAAAGTTAAGCTTACCCAAGTCCCTATATAGGGGACTGGGCGCCCGAGCCCCTTTCGAGGACTTGTCACCACAATACCACCCGGAGAGAAAAAAGACAGGTTTCTCCGGCAAGATATCTCTTAACTCGGGATCCGGAAGTGAGGGCCAACTCGTACGGGCTCATCCAAGACGAGTGGACGATGAAGCCTCCTTCAGAGGAAGATATTGTGTCTTTAGGTGTCTTTAGGGAACCAAATAGAGTAATGAGATGTGCATGTAGGATGGATGACTGCGGATAATATACCGCTTCCAAATTTTAACAGAATCCTATTAGTATAGTTATTTTTGATATTATCAATACTGTAAGTGCTCTTGGAGCCCCATATTGGCCGATCTCCGTATTCGCCCGTGGGGCGAAGAATGTGAAAACACCTGTGGGAATCGCTAGGTAGCCCTCAACTTCTTTCTCTCTTTTCATTTCCTTTCTATCGTGATTGAAATCAACCCAGTCTTGTCTGGTTTCTTGATTTTATAGAAATTTGCACAACAACCGACCTACAATCAACAAGAAGCTACACCGGGAGCCCTTTCAACACTTTGTATCACTACCCTAGTCGTATTGCACCCCTACATCGTTACAGCACTAGGAACCCATACCCTGCTCAATGTCTCGACCCCTCACTGCAGTATTTAACACGCTGGATCTTAATTGTGTGTAAAGTCGAGCGAGTACTCAATCAGAAGCCCTAAAATTCCACGATTCTCAAACAATTGACTGGGACACTCGGAAACCATATCCGCAGGCATGGTGCCCGTAGGGGCATTACACATCAATATTTAAGGGATTCCCACTTGTTGACTCCAATATCGCCCCCGGTCGTATTCTTGTTTTCTTACAAAGAACCCTGCCCATTGCTCTGCTAGTGGACAAACTACGTTGACTACGTGTCATATGTCCCAAATCCACACCGTATAAGTTAGCGGATGGTCGCTGCTTTTCCCAGATTTCCTTCATATAAATTCATTCCATACAACAAGGTTTCACATAGCCACCAACAAACAAGAATGATGTCCACAATATCGGACCCTGGAGCCTCTCTGCTCGCCCAGCTAGCGTGTCCACCAAAAGTATCTTTACAATTACTCGGAACGCACACAACAGCCGAACAGACCGAAGTTATCGATTTTGATCTCTGGATTGATTGTTCAAAGCAAGCGAAATTCAAGTCTGGAGGGTTCTTCACGAGTAACGAAAGTGATAATCGCTTTTGGGATCAGTCTGGTGAATCCAATGACAATTTCCCGACAACATCATCTGGTTGGCTTCGAGATTGGCTTGATAGTAACGAGAGAACAAGGTAAAGTCTTTAGATGATTTGGCTCTTGGTTATATTAACATATTTCAAGTTGGACGATCGACAAAATCGTCTCTTTGAGCGATAACGATTCGGCTGCTATGAAAGCCCACGCAGAGGGCCTCGCACGCAAAATCGCATATGGCGGATCTATCATTGTTGAAATTCACACACCACCTCTCGAGACGGATGTCGCTGCAAACACTGCAGAGATCCGAGCCGAATGGAGCTTTGGTTCTCCTTTCGTTTCGACGGAGTTACCATGGGACCTGTTGGTAATGAATGCAATGGTCGACCGCAGGAGAGGATTTATCTCGGTTGATGAGCCACGCCCTTCTCATGGAAGATCACCGTTTCGAAGGGCCATGAAATCTAATAACACTTCTACGGTCGTATCACAGGTTCGGAATGGGGAGGGGTTCGAGCATACAGTACTACAATACTCGAAATGGGGATCTGATATTTAGTGAAGAAGAATACTAGTCTTATCTTTACTCATAGTATTGAACGAGATTCAGGAATAAATAGTAAAAACGGAGGGATAGTTTCAGCTACTCAACATAAATCCGTGTACTTCCATGCAAGGTATATTGCTACATGAACGGACTACGAGCCATTCTAAGGCCTGTCATGACCTAGTTGCTGTTTGAGTAGCCTACTAAGCTAGTCCTAATAACAAGGACATCTAAATGCCCAAATCATGCATCTCACAGTTCAAATACTTGCTTCAGATAAGAATATGTATTGTGATGATCTCTCCGTATGTGGCAGAACGAATGTACAGACGGGTCAAGACTTGAGTCCTAGTCTTTCCACCATTTTGTCGACGCTATTCTTCATGCAACAGTTCAGACCCCACTCGTCGTCTTCAACTCATAAAACATTTTAGCCGTGAGCGTAAACCCCAGGTCTGGTAGCTGAGGGACGATTTCAGGATTTCCCAGGAATATCGCGTCCTTGCACGGCGCGGTTAACCAGAGCCATTTCAAACCCGTTGTCGAGGATCAACTGAACCAGATCCGCATCACCACCGAGGAGCGCAGCGTGGAGTGTATTAGGTACATGGGATGACCAGCCAGGGGTGCTATCTCCTTGAACTTCCTCTCTGCACTTGTGTGCTTGGAGTAGCTTGAGTCGTGGTCTGTCGGGGAGTTCCTCTGGACGCAAATCAGGAGCAAACCGCAACACGAACTCTGAATTTTCGTTATTCACATCGGCACCCTTTTCGAGTGCATATTTGACGACGTCTCCTTGGCGGTGCCAGAGTCCCTCGTATAGTATGATCTGCGCAGCATCTTTGACGGTGAGGTTCCGATAGTCACGCTCGAGGAAAGTGAAGAGAGCTTTGAGCACGGGTAAATGACCGCGAGCTGCAGCAAGTTTCAGAGGTCGTCGCAGCTTGAAAGCACCGGTGAATGCGGCCTCATTGTGAGAAAGTAAGAGCTTAACAATGTGGACATGGCCATTTCCTGCAGCCTGTCTCATCGGAGTCTCGTAGTGCTCGTCAAGAAAGTTGGGGTTGACGCCTTGGTCAAGGAGAAGACGGACACAAGACAGCGAGCCGATTTCCGCTGCTGCGGTCAAGGGGTGTGATTTTGGGTTTCGTGGGATGACGCGCAAAGCCTCGGGGTCATCGCGATGGGCCAGATGGGATCTGAATCTGTCTCGCCGCGTGATCTTGGCACCGGCATTCAGGCACTTGCGAATTGTGCTATCGAGGCCTCGCTTAGCTGCCCACAGGATAATGTCACGATGTTCATTTGCTGTACGGTTCTTGTACAGCTTGTCATCGAACAGGAGGGCGAATCGTGAGCTCGTGCAAATCAAGGCATTAAGGTCTTTCGGGGAATCTAGGTTGCTCTCAATCATGAGAAGAAGCTCAGTGGGCAGGTTATGGAGAGACATGTTTGCTAGGGATGTGGTAGTTGGGAGAAGGGGGAGGGATTGTCACAAAGATGAAAAGAGCAAGTGAGCAAGAGATGGAGTGAAATAAAGATGAGACATGAGGGGGTATATAAGAAGTTGAGATGTGCTTGATGGCTCACTGGCAACTGAAAGTGAGAAGGTCAGATGAAGGCAAACAATAGCAACAATAGCAACAATAGGAATTTAAGGATTGTCCGGATAACCAGTCCTATTGTCAGCCGTCTCTCACTTTATATTCACCTTCAATTGATGCGGCTAAAAATTGCATTGAACTGTGCAGTTATTCCAAGGCATAAGTTCTCAATGTAGAATCGACAAGATGTAGGAGCCTGGTAGTTAGGATGGAGAGAGTTGATTGCTAACGGCATCGCTCTGGTGAGGGGTTGATGTCCGAGGCACCAATATGCAGCCTACTGCCACAACTATAGTTCTCACTTACCCGTTCCAGCTCCCGGCGTATATCCACAGAATTCCGGGTTACAAAGTCACCGTAGTAGTCAATCAATGCGACGTCCACCCTTGACCGCAGTTCGGGGTCTGTAGAAACACCCCATGCTGCTGCCAGACACATTATAACATATCCTGCTCCAACGGGTCTGTACACATTGGCCTTCTGGGCATGTATGAGAGTATCTTCAACAAGAGATCTCGATTCTATCATGCAGGCGTAATCACTGGGATCCAGTACCCGAAGGATGCAATTGAAAGATATTGTGATTGCGAGACCAATTCCATGGGTGCGGAAATAATGTGCTCGCAATATCCGGGCCATGAACGTTTCTGGCATGATATTTAGCTCCGATGTTTCAAAGTCGACTGTTCGAGCTTTCAACATAGCCAGGAGCAATTTGCATTTTTCGTATATTGGTCGGGCTTCCAGTGTCAATGGTGTTAAGTCTTCGCAGTCGCGTATGGCTTGCTTGCCGCGTTTTATTAGGGCCGGGGCTCGTACTAGGCATCGTAAAATCTGGCCTTCGGGTTCGTCTTGATCAAAGTCATTCTTAGCCAAGGCATCCCACTCCTCGAGGGTCAGGTCGATACTATCATTGTGTAAGCCCTCGAATAACTTGAGGGGGTGATCAGCTTGGGCCAGGAAAGCAGTAGGGGTTGTGGGTGATTTACCATGCTTCCCCGTAAGGAGAGAAACAATTTACGCTCAAAGTCGTCGCGTGGCCCAAAGTTCTTTCGCGCACGTAGAATGCTGGCAGCCCCTTGCGCATGTCCTGACAACATTTGCCCATTATTTCCGATGAATGTTAGGCAGACTAAAAGTATCATCACGGCACATAGTGTACTGGAAGCAGTCGCCTGGAGCGGATCATCTAGATATACCCGTAGGGTCTTAAGCGCATATGAATACTTCGCTAATGCTTCAGTCGAAACTGGTTGGCGGGTGCAGAAGCCTGCGTGGGCAGTGGTAACCGCGTCAACTGCACGGTCGAGTGCTTCGTTACTGCCCAGTCGTCGGGGTACATCTTCCAGGAACATGCCGAAAGACCACCACATATTGTATCGGAAGTCCGTGGATCGTTTTATGGCGCCGACAAACTTATTCATCAACGATGTCATACTATTGCCAGGATATGTCCGGGGTATTTCAACAGAATATTTTTCTTCTTCTGGCGATCTCGATCTCGATCTCGGAGCGAGAGTCATTTGACAGCTTTGATTTGATTTGGGAGAAAATTGTTGTTGTTTGAACTTGAATCGTTGCTGACCAGACCCCACACAGCCCACTTTCAGACGAAGACATCGTCCACATGCAGGTTGTTTTTCATCGCACTTGACATCTTATTAAAAAAAAAAGGCTCTGTGGGCCACGATTTTATCGCACGTACCTTTTTCTTCTGCTTGCGGCATGCGTCACAAGCCCGACCTGTTGGGACACCGGGCATGATGGCGGGGGTAAGACCTGAAGTAGGGGGAGCGGAGGGTGGATCCTAAAACGGACACTGCAAATCTTCAGGAACGTTTCTATCTAGTGAGGAGTATGCCATAAAAGGCTTTGAACCCATAATACATTGCACTAAAAAAGGATAGGGAGGACAAACAACCAGGTTCCAAGTAGGTTAATGTGATGATATTTGGCTGTGCAGTCTAACCACTTTGGGTCAAATGTACCGCTCCCCAAGGCTGAGTCGGGCGTCGCTGATTGGCCAGTTCATTAAGTATATGGACAATGAGGCTGAATTCAACACAGTCCGATCTAACCCGATATAGGCATATCTGGCGCTTCATGCTCTGTAGATCAACACGCTGGTGATAGGGGTGAGAGGGTATTTAAACATGCGATCATCCAGCATTCCCATATCCAATCGACAATTAATTGCACTTCTTCCATCATGACCTCAAATAACTCGGATGCAGAGGTGAATCTCTACTTGTATAATCCAAGTCATATATTACCAGCTGTCTTTGCCGCCTTGGTCGGCGCGTCTCTGATTCTGCATATTTACCAAAACTAGTAAGTGTTTGACATTTTGAGAAAACAGCCAATTTTGTTCTAACATCTTCAGCCGCTATCGATTCTGGCGCGTTACCTTCTTTATCTGCTGGGGTGGAACCCTATTCACCACGGGCTGGATTCTCCGCTGCATATCGAGTTACCATCCAGCAAACTTAAACATCTACATCGCATCAACAGTCCTCATCTATGTCGGTCCACCAATTTACTCAGCCGCCGCGTATAATCTCGTCGGACGCCTCATGAACTACTTACCAATGCACGCGGTCCTAAACCCCAACCGTGTGCTCATCTTCTTCGTCTATGTCGGCGCAGCCGTGGAAGCAATTACAGTCGTAGGAGCAACTAAGAATGCATCAGCTGGCTCTGACCTGGACAAGTACAAGGGTGGCGGGACTCTCATCGCTGCGGGACTTGTTCTCCAAGCAGTGGTTGAATGCGTCGTGATCGGGGTCGTTGCAACGGTCCACGCTCGCTGCTCTCGAGCTCGGATGCTCTCGCCGAATGTCCGTGTGGTCTGCATCACACTCTACGGGATATCGACTCTTGTCTTGCTGCGATGTATCTTCCGTGGCGTCGAAGCATTTGAGATGTTTGGTAATCTCGGCTGCCGGGAGAACTGCGGGCCTATTCTCAGCAATGAATGGTATCTATATGCATTTGAGCTTGGCCCGATGCTTCTGTTCACTTGGTGGCTTAACTTAATGCATCCTGGTCGGCATTTACCTCGACAGAAGCTACGCTATCTGTGTCCTGATGGTCGCACGGAGCGAATGGGTCCCGGTTGGATTGACCGTCGCTCTCAGTGGGAGACTTTTGCCGATCCGTTGGATTTGAAGGGGGTGTTTAAAGGTGCGCCTTCTCATGAGAAGTACTGGCTGCGACAGGATGAATGGCCTGTGTGCAAGGATGGTAGTTTTGCTATGGGGACTGCTACCAACACGAGGGCTGCAGGTGAGGATGAAAATAACCTAGCTTCACTTAGTCCTCAAGTTTGAGGAATGGATGCGGGACATAACTTGATGCCTAAGTTTGATTTCTGGGTCGCTTTTTTTTTTCTGCGATGCTTTTCTCTTCTTCCCGCAAGCGAATGACTGTAAAATGTTCATATAGACTTAGAACTAATCACCATTTCACTCGAAGGATTTATGTTTATTATATTACCCACATATAGGCTTATGAGATATGCTCAACTGGGCCTTGGCCTCGATGAGACTAATTCTAGGGTTGCCTTGCAAGCTTACCTGATCGGGACTTTTGCATGGTTAAAGGCGCATCAAGTGCATCAAGTACGTTAGGAATAGTGGCTAGAATCTAGGCCATATGAGGCATATTGTATATTGCGGCTTTTTCAAGCACCAAGAACATGTTATTTCATGTGAAACAGTCAGTGATAAATACATCCGATCGTCATTTATATCATCGTAGCATCACTGCATTCAGTATCTACAGCTTGGCTTGTTCAAGCGGGCTCAATTTCCTCAGCGGGGGCCCTCCTCTGCTTCCATCGCCTGCCATGGGTCCCTTCGAGTCACCCTGGGGCGGGTTCATTCTCCACTTTTGACGCAAAGCTTCGGGTGCTTTATTCTCAAAGCAGTCCGCGATATATTGGCCCAGGATAGGGAGGAATTTGAATCCACTAAAACCAGGTTAGTTAGTATAAAGTCATAGTGTGCAGAGTGAGAATTTAGATCAATACGTACTGTCCTGCACCACCAGTAGCCATGAATAATCCCTGGATGGTTGGGTGGTGGTCGATAATGAAATCACCATTGGGGGTATCCGTGTACCAACACAGTCGACGGTTCATCCAGGGACGATCCCCCAGCTTTGGGAAGAACTGACGCAAACCCTGTCGCAGCGATTCATCCGCGTCATCAGGCAAATATCCAGTGGCCGCATTGCTACCTTCGAACTTCGGCGATGAGAGGGACTTCCGAACACCATCCACATTGACAGTCATGTCAGTTGCATACCCGTAACCATGGCGCGCCAGCTTGAGAACATGTGTATCCGGTGTGGGCGGGAATGAGAAGACACCAGAGCTCATGTTGATCATAACCGGGATCTTTCTCATCTCGAGGGCCTCCTCCTCGGTCAATTGGATGAAGCCAACAGGCTGGCCGGAGGAAGACGCGGCATGACCCATATTTAAAAGACGGTTAGTCCACGCTCCGGTGCTTAAGATCACCTGTGAAGCGAGCAATACCTGCCCTCCGACAAGGTTGACACCGACAACGCGGGAGCCCTCCCGGCGGAGGGAAATAACAGTACCGCGAGGCCCGGCAATGATAGATATACCTGCCACGGTACACTTGGAAGCAAGCTTTTTGGATGCTGCCTGCGGCATCGGCCCAGCCACCTTTCGGATTGTGATATCCGTTCATGCCAGAAAAATTGGCTTGAACACTAGGGTAGAGTTTGCGGATTTCCATGGCGTCGTCAAGATCATCCAATTTGCCACCTGCCGCCCGAATCACAGCTTTGGACTTCTCCATGTATTCGTTCTTAGGCGTTTCAGAGAGCAAGGCGAATCCTGATTCGAAGTATTGATCTTTGTACTCAGTGGTCCATCCACTGTATGCCTCTCGGGCCATTTGGGAGTATATTGGGTCCGCATAGTCGGCGCGAATAATGCGTGAGATGTCAACGCTGCTTCCATCTGCTGATGGTGGTACAAATCGATCGACAACGGTGATATCTGTATATCCGCGCTTGTTGAGTTCAAGGGCGGTCGAAAGACCGAAGACGCCGGCGCCCACGATCAGGATTGAGTCTGTCTTCGCTGTGGTCATTTTGAGCGACAGAATGATGGCCAGACAGATGTTGTCAAACTGGAATCGGTTGAAGGATTTCTTAGGATTATAAAATGTGGAGGTGTATGTGAGGAGGGCCGGTTCAGTGCCGTCTTGGCGTTTGGAGGAGCCGGATCCGGTCCGTGCTCCCCGGATGAGAATGAATATATAAATTTAACCTCACGTTGGGTTAACGCTCAGCCAATCCTCGAACGCTCTCCCATAATCTTGAAGCTGCAGGAATAACGTATCACCCCCGCTAAACTCCATATTAACGTCCCCCGGGAGTCCTGAAAAGTCTATCCTCGGTGAGGTCTGACTCGGCGTTTGTATGGGGTCCTCAGTCTGCTCAGGTGGATATGTGACACACTCCGGGGCGACTGTCTTGTGGCCAGAGATTCCCGCAGATCCAATCAAAGTAAAATCACGGTCGGTGATAGCACCAACGGAAGGGTCCCCTGAGGATCCGACACTGTCTTTCGCAAGTTCCGGGCCGAAGATGTCGCTAGCAGGATCCGATACGTTACTTGCATGGGCATATACTAAGATTTTCCACAATAACTGCAAGTTCACAGACCACTTCTGACGAGAATTTGTTCCTCCTTGAGTAATGTTGCCTGTCATAAGGCCTCCGGAGGAAACGCTGCCCCGGAGTTGTTGCAGTTGTCGGACCTAGAGGCTATATTAGAACCAATGAAACAGAGCAACAGCTCGATGAAGACGAACCTGGCGATCGATGTGTGGCCATCTATTACTCAAGTTCCGTAGGAATCTAAGACATTTGTCAAATCCCGTTTGCGCTTTTCTGTTAAAAGCTTCATCCTCAACAAAACTATGTTGAAGATAGATCGTAGCAACGATTGCCACGCATTGTCCTATGATCGGATCAGATACCTCGAAATTCTTCGCCTCGATAAGCTCGAGGAAATGAACAACCCAACCCGAGTGGAAGGTCAACTGCTCGAAGGAATTACGGAGGAATGACTGAGGCATTGTCCTCCGGAAGTTCCGAAGGCGCATAGACAACAGAAACGGATGATTGACTAAACAAGGCACCGCATGCCAAACCAACTGGAAGAATAGCCACGGGCTCCAGTAGTCACGATGAGCCTGAAGTTCGGCCCGGGGATGATCTTGGAAGCGGCTTGCATGAAGTCGGAATCTCAGTGGCATGAGACTCTCGTGCTCGCAGTGTCGGAAATTAATCATGGTGTAATCGGAGTTCGGAGACCATGGGGGATGAGCGTCAACGCCGACATGGCTGGCGGCATAGTTACTTGCCATCGCCCACAGCTCGCTTGTGTAAAGACTGGTGCCATTAATGCCAATATCTGGCTTGGAGTCACCGCTGCTACCACGGGCAATATCTTTGTTGAACATCGTAGCTCCCAATGGCGAGGTGATTTCACCTGCCTCTGCAGGTAAGTCCAAGCTGTCTCCGGGTGGATGTAGGGATCCTTGAAGATTCTTAAGCAGGACGAGGCTTACGTAGCAAAGCTTGCGCTCATCACGCTCGGTTTCCAAGTTGCTTATAGACTCTAGACCACTTATTCTGAGATTTCCCATCAAATATGTGGCAAGTCTGGTATAAGACCCTGCACGAATGATATGGCCCGCTGGACAGATGAAACACAATGTTAGAAATGAATACAATGACTCAGGCTGGGACTGTTTTACCTGTAAATTCCAGCATGCTTAGAAGACAAAGCGTCTGAATCGTAGATAGTTCCACGGTCCCAGATGCCAAACGCATCATGACCATCTCACAGGCCCTTTCTGTTTTTCTCTTGATTTCTAGTTGTATGTCCTGGTCAATGACTCCGGGTCTTTTGAAGCGGGCCCCAAGAGCTTCAATTGAAAGTAGAAGCTCGGGGTCTCGCTTTCCCAGGGAGGCCAGAGAAGACCTGTTGGGAAATAACATAAGGGGCTGCCCGTTACAAAAGGTTAGGTAAAGCTCGGCATCTGGGGGCCCAGATGATCCAGCTCTATTTCATTCGTCAATGAAGATATCTTGCAATTAAATCCCACACTGGACTTACATGGAAGAGCTCTCCGTTGGTGGAAGTTCTGGTATCCGAGGGTTATTCTCGGGGACAATTGGCGAAGAGAGATGATTTGAGGCAGGCCGCCTGCGACCTCGATTAGCCAAATAGGACAAGATACAGCGAATATTGGAACACACGTAATATATTTCATTAATTGTTCTAGCTTGCTTTCAATGCCGGAAATGCGTTCTTCCTATGCCACATCAGAATCCACTTAGGTCTAGGCATCATTGGTACTTACCATCACCATCATCCTCTGAGAGTGGCCGAAGTCTCCATCTCCAGTCTCTGTGCCTGCATACACACACTGCTGACCCAGTCGTGCACAGTACGAGCAAGTCGGTTTCTCTCCTGGGCAACGCGACTTTTTCCGGCTGAAGCAATGTCAGCTTAAATTGCATCTAAGCTTGTGGCACCCAAGGTTCAAGCTTACCGGCACGGCTCACAAGCCTGACGGGCTCGTTTTGATGGTCTTTCATCTTCAGTTGATCCCATTTTACATATCTTGTCACCACGAAAAGTGATGATCTGAGCTGTTCCACGTGGGTAAAACGTCGATCCAAGGCGGGGAACAGGGTGTGGGTCCCAAAAATATAGCAAAGTACAATATAACTATGTTGTAGTATGTACTTTCCCAGCTTCTCTTCTAGATTTCTCTATCTATCATAATGGGCTCTAGTTGTAGATGGAATAATAGGAACAACAATCGAGAACTCAATCAGAATCTACTAGGCCACGCAAGGGTTTGGTTGAGACATCTATAGGCCCAGTTCTCATACTATCACAATAATTCCCGAGGCAAATGGGAGTTCAAAGTGCCAAGCTAGACTGTTTATTCCATCTCGAAAGATAACTGTCGATATCAGCATAACTCATGCGGTTGCAAGATATCAATTCCTATGATTTGTCATGGCAATCTGTTCGTGATGAAGTGGACCCGTGTTGTACATTATGTACGTATATACACGATGAGCTATACATAGCATTAGGTTGTACCTGTGACCAGGGTGATAGTAGACTCAGTTCAATTCTACGTTTTCGCAGATCTCATGAAAATGGGAAAAAGTAAATTCACACATAGTGAAGATCTACGATCATGTGATCTGCCACTGAGCTGACGTCGGCTCCGATTCCCCAAGCTTTTGGCCACTCACCTCCGCCTCCTCGCTCATTTCTGTGACAATCCTCTGATCCCTACGAGCTTTGCATCAACTCCTAACAAACACCGGAAAATATCGAGGGAAACTTGGAACTAACCAAAATGAGTGACGCCTACGAACGCGAGCAGTACGTCCCCCTTTCTCCACATTGTCCTGTCTGATGCCTCTACGAAAGGAATTACGTTTTGGTTGGAGTGCTAATCCTTTGAAACAGGCAGAATAATGCGCTCCTCAATTCCCTCTCCACGAAGGTCTCAGCCCTCCGCTCCGTAACGATCGATATCCACGATAATGCACGGGACCAGGGTACACTCGACCATACGGTATGTCTTGAACAATCTTTCGCAGGCCCGATAATGATCCAGGACATTTGCTTGTCACTTGGAGATACTTGTCACTGGCGCCTCGAGCGTATTAACTTGCGACTAATAATACTACCTTCTTAGGGCGATGTATTCTCTTCCTTCTCAACAACCCTCAAAGGCAGCGCCACTCGACTCACGCGGATGGCGAAACAAGGCGATTCCATGGCCGTGCTGAAAATTGCGTGCATGTGTATTGCCGCTGGAGTCGCTCTCTATATCATCCTTGGGTGGATCTTCTGAAGGGCTTCTTACGCCCTTACAACCTACTGCTTCCTCGACGCCCTTTTACCTCCGCCCGCCTCAATATTCGATACCCTTGCTGGACCGAGACTCGTATCGAACATTCATGATCTGACCCTGTCATGTTATTCCACGGCGCTGGGTTGTTTTCGTCTTATGGACCACGTCTATGCTTTGCTCGATCGGAATATGGCGTGGCACGTTGGTTTGCAGTGTATGCTGTGCCCCGAGATTTCCCCGTCGTTCTCGATGTACTCGGTGTGCTATTTTTGGGCTGTGCCTGTTATAGACATTGATATCCAACACCATCGGCGACGCGACTCCTACCGCCTCCTTCGACCTACTTCGGTTGTCCCTTGACCGCTAGGTTCTCTTGGTTGACGTCTTCATGATTTGCAAATCGGCCCAGGTGGGCCTGATACCTTGTTTTGAGCCGGTTGCTCCATACCTCATCGCGACTTGACATTCCTGCTTCTTCCCATTTTCCATATTATCAATACTGTGATCACTGAACATAATACATACTTGGCCCACTAAATATATTCATTTATGCCCCAGTATCCACTCGTTGCGTAATCGAAGTACACAATGGATGGGGTGGTAGTCAACAGTATTCCCACGCCTAGGCAACTCTACTGACATCACCACCAAGTGGTCCATTCCCTCGACATGATATATTTAGATCAACGTCTACAATCTCTACCCCAACAAACTCTAATCATCGTGAGTTTAAGCTCACCAAGGTCACGGCCAAAAACCCTAACCCAAAACGGAAACGAGGTGGTATAAGACAATGCAAGTCCACTTCAGACTTTTTTTCCTTCGCTTTTTCTCGTCATGACTCCTCAAATTATATGTAGGTGTTGACTGACTGGGGAAACTTATTTATTACGCTGAACATTACTCGGTTGTGTCGTGTGCCACATTCCCACGTGTCGATATCACAACGCCGTTTTCGGCAAATATGGCTTGGAATGCCAACCCAACCTAAGTTTGATGTAACCAATCTCATTGAAAAATACCAAGCTTTCAATTACCCCACAATTAATCAAGGCTATATTCCTCATTGGATCTTATTTGCTCCATGGTCACGACCTGACACAGAGTGTACCAAGTCATCAAGTACAAAGTAGTTATCAAGATCCGATATGGCACCAGCAGACACTACAGCATTACTCCTCTACAGCTGT